TAGACTACAATGCTGGCTGTTCTGACTCACAGACTGTAAGTACGTTTTTTATATTTAAAGAGTTTTTATATTTTATATTTAAAGCGGGTTTTTTGGGCAGTGTAGAGTAGGGGTTGCACCGATTAATGGACTAGTCGACTTCAATGCTCTGCCATCCAATAACAACCAACTGCAGAACCGCAGAACCATACGTCATGACAGTCTGAGGACAACAGCGCCAGACTAACAGTCTGAGGCCGGAAGTGGGCGGAGTTTAAATTCATATTTTTATTTTTGTTCTATGAAAAAACGTGGTTAGTTTTGAAATGGAGTATAAAAAAATTGCAAATGCTCAAGCTTTGTTTTTGTTTTGTTTTTTTATAAAGATTTGTAAAATTTATATTGTTAATCATTTATGACAAAAACAAATGTATAATAAACTATAATAAATAAAAAAAACTGACAATTGTCTATAGTAGTATGTCTAGTTTTTTTTTTTTACATACACATATATATAAGTGCATCTTATATATCTTTTAAATTCAATCGTTTTAATATAATACTTGATGATAACGTTGTTTTAAACTTTGAAACGGTCCAAAATACGGAAGTAGCGGAAGGCAACACTTGCTCCGCCCACTTCCGGCCTCAGACTGTTAGTCTGGCTGTTGTCCTCAGACTGTCATGACGTATGGTTCTGCGGTTCTGCAGTTAGTCCTATCTCCTGCCATGACGCTTTAAACTTGACGCCGACTAGTCGCTGGTCCTATAGAGGGAGCAACAGGATAAGAAATCTTTGAAGGACTTCCACATTTACGCTCCGTTTCCAAACAGTTCAAATGACAAATAAATGCATACTCTGAAAGCGCTCCACAAGACATGTGTGATTATATTACTGGATGCTCGAAATTGAACGGGAGAATGCACGTTTTAAACAGCTTATTGTACAGGTAAATTAATCGCCGTTCTAATCTAATGCGCTGCTGCACTGTAATGCACACACATAGGCTACAGACAGTAGCGTACGTCACGCACAGAATCATTCAGCGCGGAAATGAATTGTCAACACTGATTTCGCAATAAAATAGCTTAGAAACTGAAAAGTTCAAGCATATATTTCTTAACTAAATTCCACAGCTTCACTACTAGCAGAGAGATGCTGCCAGGTAGAATTAATTCACACACGCAATCGCTCTCACTAATGCAGGGGTAGGCAAGTTCGGTCCTAGAGAGCCGCAGTCCTGCAGAGTTCAGCTCCAACCCTGAAAAAAAACTCACCTGCCTATAGCCTTAGTAATCCTGAAGTAATCCGTGTGGGCAGCGCTGTGTCATATGCCATAGCTGTGCACAAGCTGTTTGTCACAGCTCCAGACTTATTTGTTCATTAATGACGTCATCAGCGACTAGTCGACTTAGACTCGACTTTCATCACATAAAAGTCGACTTCTAAAAATCAGAAGTCGTTCAACCCCTAGTAGGGCTATAGTTGTTTGTCATTTCTCCGATCACAAATGCAGACATGGTTTTATGTTTATGCGGAGCAATGCAATGCAACGTGTAAAAAGACAGTATAAGTCATTATAATCCATAATTATGTCCCCAATGGATGCAACGAATGCCTCGTTTATAATGGGTTTTCATGATTTGAATCATTGCTCCGGCCTTACAGGGCATCATCACAATATGGTAAGGGACGTAACATTTCCGTCACACGCTTGAGGTATTCAACCAATCATAACGCACTGGATAGCTGGCCAATCAGAGCACACCTCGCTTTTCAGACCGATGAGCTTTGTAAAAATCGACGCGTTTCAGAAAGGCGGGGAATAGAGGAGAAACAATAATGTACAGTATGTGGAAAATAATGTGTTTTTTTAACCTTAAACCGCATAAACACATTTCATTACACAAAATAATGTTCTTTTTAGCAACATCATATGACCCCTTTAAAGTCAACCAAACATAGGGCAAGAAAGATGAAGGAAACTTACGTAAAGGTGTGGATGCCAGGTCCTCTAAACTCTTGGAAATAGAGATGGGTCTGGCATTGGCTCGCTCCAGGGCAGCTTTTACAGGGCTGTCATCCTCACTGTCCCCTGTCACAGCCCATATCAAGAAGGAATCAGCAAACCATATAAAAGCAGAGGTCTACTGGTGCATTTTATACAGCTATTAGTACTAAATATCTGATTTGAAACACTGATTTAAGGGGGCATTTCCACCCATTAAATTTCTGACTTCAGAGGATTTAAAATGTATATGTAATTACTACGTACAATGTAATTTAAAAAATAATTAATAATAAAAAAAGAACAAAAAAAAAAAGATAATTAATTAAATGAATTCCATGAATATAGAAAAATAAATGGTTATACATTTAAAATATAAAAATATAAAAAAAATAAAATTACTTATGATATATAAAAATTCATTTTAATAAATTAAAACAATATAATAAAGACTTTAATGATTGTAAGCTGATTTATCAGTGTCAGAGGTAGTGTTCATTTGACTCTAACTACAAACAATATTTCAAGCACCATGTTATAAACTGAAACTTACCAGGAATTAAAAAAAAAAATAATAATAATAATAAATTCATGATTTCAAAGAAACAAGTTCTGATTACTGAATTAGATCATTATAGAAACACGTAGAGGCAGGGCTTAAATAGTCATAAGCCTGTAGAACAAGTAGGTCATTTTATCATGTCTACAAATTTCAGCACCTTACTTGAGCAAAGCATCAAGTAGGACATGTTTCTTAGGTCACACTGAGCACTTGTTTTAAGGACATAAACCCTGCTTCCACAAAAATCACAGAACCAATCAAGGCCTTTTCTATAGAAACTAGACTGAACCAAAATGGAGAGGTGAGCTCACAGTATGAACTGGCGTGTGAGATTGACCAGGCTTCAGGTGTGGAGCTCCCAGAGGAGTCAAAGGTGATCTCCTCTGATTCAGGCTGGGAGTGTCGAGAAGGGGAGCTCTCATTGCTCACTCTGCCTTGGTTCACCTGTTCAAAAGTTTCACCTGCCTGCACCTTAACCTGTTCTCTTTCATCTAAGACTGCCTGCTCAGGTATGCCCAGGTAATAGTGTAAACTCAGGGGAATATAAAACCGGGACAGAGAGTCTGCTGACAACTTTCGTTCTTTGGGCATGATGGGTCTTACATCAATGCCTCCATCTGAAGTCTTCCTGTGGTGTTCAGGAGAGGTACATGGCCTGGTTTGCCCTGGTTTAACCCTTACAATGCATGGACTCTTGTCAGCAGGATTGATATCTATCGCAAAGGTTCTTAAGGGAGAACCATCCTTCCTGGATTCTTTGTTTGGATATGAATCTCTAAGAGGTACTTTAGACTGCAGTAATGGGCTGGGTGTTCTGGTTTGATCTCGGTCTTTTGGGTGGTAAATGTCAGTGGACTGTGGCTTATCATGTTGACCTTTTGCAGGGAGACTTCTGAGGGGAGATGGTGGTGGACTTGGCTTTGAATGTTTGTCTGAAATGGACTGTTTGAAATTATAAATATTCTGGGTGGTGTAAGGTACCCTACCTCTGATATCCTGAAGGTCTTGTAATGGCACTGGACTTCTCTGTTTTTCCTCTGTCTGTTTCATCTTCTCTTTTTGTGTCAAAGCAGCCTCTTTGAAACTCATTCTCTCTGGGGAACTTGGGTTGTTTGATCTGATGTCAAACTGAGGTTCAGAATGTTCTACTAAAGAATGTTTTGGAGATGACTCTGGGGATGGATCTTTAACGTTAGCTGTACACGTTGGTGAGCCTACAATTACTCTAAGGCCACTTTTTTCTTTCTCCCAAAATGACTTGAGATCATTAATCGAGACTTTATCCTCCTGTTGACTTAGGGACATTTTGAGGGTGGATATTTCCTTTTTCAAGTCAGATATGTCCCTGGAGAGTGACTCTTCCTGTAGCTCATTGCCCAGAGATTTATCTTTGTGTTTTAGCGATGAACTGGGTGACAATTTGGCATTCATTTTCACCGTGAGAGTTTGTAGTTCGCTGCTTGAAACTTCTGAGACCCTATTGCTCTCCAAACTAGAAGGCTTCTCATCTTCATGTGAGGATATGGCTAATATATCCTCACCATTGGATGTTCTTCTAGATGAGACTGGAGAAATCTCACATGTTGTACATTCTACATCAACTGGATTTGGATCATTGGGTTTGGGTTTTGATGGGCTGATGCTTAAATCTGACAACCTTCTGTCCACAGCGACGTGATAATTCTCATTAAGCTGAGAGGTCTCACTTTCTTCTACCTCAGCTTCTTTTTTGATGCTTAGTATTTTAGGTCCTCTGTTCCCTTTTCCCCAGAATGACTTCAGGTTGGCAAGTCTTCCTGGTGATATTTCACCTCGGTCAAACGTCTCTCTTTGTGGAGGATCTTTGCATATTGGTTTGTCTGTTTTGTCTGTTTTTTCCTGCAGTATTTCTGCAGTCTTGCTGTTTGTAGAAACAGAGGTCTGTGGAAGTATATTATCATCTTCAGGTCTCAAAGTGCAAGATGTTTTATATTCTGAACTTTCTGGTTTATCTTGACTTATCTCTTCTTTGTCAGATCCTTGAACTTCAGAACACTTGTCTTTTTTCTCTGCTCTCGAAAACAATGCAAAAAGCCCCCTACGTGGCTTTGGTGGTGGCTTGGTCTTTGGCTGTACAACTGGAGGCACTAAATCTTCTGACTTGGCTTCTGGGTTTTCATGATCTTTTGGTTCCTCCTCATTCCCCTCTCTCTTAACTGGCGACTCCTTCAGCTTTCCATCTCGAGAACCTCTCCCAAACCATTCAAGTACCTTAGAAAATGAACGACCCTCTTCCACTGTAAGCTTATCAGTCTGGCCCTCTGCACTTAACCCAATGGCCTTACCTGTTACTTCACTAGAGTCGTGGAAGTTGGACACCTGTGAGGACTGAGGCTCACCATAAACCTCATGATAACCTAGAGGGAAAACAATCACAAGTTTGAAAGTCTTAATTTTTGCATGCAAGTGATAGAGAATACTTGTCATCAGATAATATTACACATTAAACTTGCAGTAAACACCCAGATAATAGTCATTTCTTGCTGTGCTTATTTAATAATCACCATTTGTGGATTAATCAACATACACATGAGCATTCACCAGAAGCCATGTGCTATATGTATGAGATATGCACGCACATGCAGTTAGTATGAGGGTACATTGATGTGTTAGCATGTGAACTGTTGAATTACAGGTTGATAGATTTTTTTGGCTGATTATCTCACTTAAACACATTTCTTGGGTTTGATATATTGTTAAGTTTCAGGGTGTCTTACCAAAGGGTTTTGGATCAAGCATTTCTCACTGTCTGGTTGGACAACCCATCTACCTGTCCATCCCTGAACCTTTCTACGGGCTCAGTGCTCATCACATAGGGACACTCGTGATTTTTAGACGAATCCAGGCTGTTTTGTGTAACTTTTTAGACCAGGCCTCTATGCTAACTCCCTGCTTTAATAGGATAGTTCACCCAAAAAATGTAAAATTCAAACACAAAATTGGTCATAATTTACTCACCCACATGTCATTCCAAACCCGTGTTATTTTTTCTACTGTGGAACACAGAAGACATTTTGAAGAATGTTTGTCTTTCTTCTATACAATGAATGTCAATGGGGTCCAATGTTGTTCATTAAATGGACAAAAATAGTTAAAAATATCTTATTTTGGATTTATCAGACCAAAGAAAGTCGAATACATGCTTGTAACAACATGATAGTGTGTAATAGAATTTTCATTTCCTGGGTAAACTATCTTTTTAAGCACTTCTCGTGGCTACAACTGTTACCATTGTCTGTGATATGGCTTCTATCCTGGTCCGACAGAGGACTCCAGTCTTCTTCCAGCACACTGTGCTCTCCTTGCACTCTCTCTATGGGCCCAACAACTGAGGAGAAGTGGACCTGTTTCCTATCTAACCACCCTGAGGCAGAGTGCACTGAGCAGGGGGAAAGAGGAGGGCTGATGGGAGTTTCAGGACTGACAGGGCTGACCGTAGCTGACGACTGACTGCTGCTACTGTCGTCATTGATAGGAATGTGGAGATGCAGGGAGACAGTAGAGCTACAGCTGGAGATGTTGTTCTTCAGAATGCCTCTGGGAGCAGGGGTTATGACCTGTTTAACTCCATTGTCACTGCTGACAGTGTCCAGGGAAGAGTCCTTGCAGGAATACAGCAGCAATCTCTTTTTTGGCACAGGTTTGCATTGTGTGACTATATGGGTGTCAGTGTTGTATGTGTTTAGAGTAGTGTGATGGAGTGTGTAGTTGTCAGCTGGAAGGAAAGGTTCTGAAAAATAACCAAATAGTTGGGTAATGAAGCAGTAAAAGAAGGAGCAAAGACACATACATGCACAAAAAATGTGAATTCATGTTTTATGATGAATTCATTTTGCATTTAAATGAACATGTCTGTTATTGTAACAGCAGTACAGTATCTGTTAATTGATGACATTTGCAAAATGAGCAATGAGATGGAATACACTGGATAAAAGCTTGCAAGCAACCTAAGAATATGATGGTGCGTATTCTAGTCAGGGATAATAGATATATTGATTCCATATCAAGTACTGGCCTATAGTTCAGCTGAAATCACATTTTCACATTTACAGTGTATGTATTTGTGGTCTATTCCAAATATTCACAACTTTTATATTTACCTTTGCACTCATTAAGACTTACTACACCTTACTACAAAATAAAAGCCCATAAAAATTTACCATCTATGTATGAGGTACAGACTGGTCATGCGTGGTGGCTTAACTACTTAGAACGACATATTTCTCTGTGTAATCTTCTTAAAGTTTGGCAGCTCCATAAAGCCCTGTTACTCAGACCACTACAACAGGTTCAACTTTCTTCAGAAATATTTTGGCCAGACCATTTCAAGGAATGGCACTTTTTCCACATGTATTGTAATAACACTAAATGTCACGCATTACATATCAATGCCAATTATAAAACTACAATTTGGTTATTCTATACTAATTATGCAAGCAGAGTAGAGTCAAATCCTGGAAATATACAAAGCTACTCTATTGTTGTACTTGTGCAATTGATTACTGAGTGCTTACACTCAAATATTTTGTTCCCATATGACCTCAAAGAAGCTTTTGATACTTTCATAATCAAAAACCGGAGACCAACATGTTTTTTTTTTTTGGCCAAAATATAATGCAAATATAGAGTTGCATTATACAAGCTACAGTAACCAAATGCAGGATTAACAGATATGCATGCAGACAGCACTGAGTTATCACACCGAGAGCACAGATCATGTCAAGCCAACACCATTGCCCAGAAGAGGTTAACATGCTGTTCTCAATGGGGATCAGTTAAACAAACTTACTGTTCTTGCAAGAAATATGTTCTGACCCTTTGCTCTTTAGAACATCCACTCATTTAAAAACACAACCCATCTGTTACCTCATCTATTACTGGACTGAACAGCATCAAAATCATCACACAAATGTTAAATCTATGATAATCACATATGTTACATCACAGAGATCATCTGTCAAAAGCTAGTTCTAATAGAAAACACTACATTATAAACTGTAAATCATTGTTGTTATTGTTAACTAAAACTACTGAAAGTCATTTTCAGTAATTAAAATAAAGCTGAAATAAAATATAATCATTAGATGAAAACTTCAACTTAAAAAGCGAAAATTTAAAATGTTGACTTGGCAATTGATTGAAATAAAATAAGTTTAAGTACTAAAATTACTAAAAATGAAATTAAAATTAAATACAAACTATATAAAAAAACAAAAACTAATATAAGCACATAAAAAAATTACTAAAACTTAAACTAAAATGAAAATGAAAATAAAAAGCTAATTCAAAATATAAATAAATACCTATAATAACACCACAATAAACTGATTAGTTGTAAATTACACATAAGGTGATTTTTTTTATTAGATAAACAACACTCACTATGAAATATATATGTATGTGTGTGTTTTTTTTAAATAGTATGAATCACCATATAATTAGCAAAATTTGCAAAACAGATTTTAGGTTGATAACATTATATCAGTGAATTGAATTAAAAAAATTAGAAAATTTTCCCGTAATGCCTCAATCTTTGTCACCAATATTTTTTGATTAAATTTTTTACATCATAAACTTTTATAGATTAACATACTCTATGGAGTGTACAAAATCAATTTGAGGATAAATTGAGAAGATATTTCTCACCCTCAGCAGGTGTCTGGTCAGCCTCCTTCACTCCATTAATAAGTCTGGCTTCATCTCTTTGTGATCTCACACTATTAAATGGATTCTGCCTTGGCTACATAATAAATTTAATGGAATCATAAAAATACATCATGAATAAAACTGAAAATTCAGCAAAATGATCTTAGTAAATGCATTTTGTGTAGTGTACCTTGATTTGAGGTCTCTGTCTTTCCTGTTGGGCTTCCGACAACTCATCTTCCACCCTGTATGGAGGATATAGATTCATATTAAAAAATTCTGATGAATTAAATGCAAGATTCACTAACATGATAATAGGCCACTGGGAGCTTTGCATTGAGCATTGAGCAATGTGAACAGTTCAGCATAATGCAATCAGTATATTCAATCATCAATACTTCTTCATGGTGCTGGTCCTGAAGCTCCTGGAAAGTCACAAGATTCAGCAAGCACTAAGTTTCCATGCTGCGATGTGACAGTATAATGCCATTACATGGTGTCAGACAGAGGGAAAAACAGCAGCACGTGAAATCTGACCCCTAAAGCAGCTTACTGGCTCCAGATTCCCCTCACCAATGTCTGGGAAAACATTAGGTACATGGGAAAAGTTTGCCCTACAGATTACGTTAGACCTAGAATACAGGTTCACTCCTGAATCTCTGCCAAACTCACAAACGAGTATACATTAACTGGTAGACAGATTACTTTTCTTTTCATATTGTTCTACATGAGCTGTGATATGAAAGCTTTAAAAGCTAGCGTCCACAGAATTAAGGCTGCTGATGACAACATGAGCAGTCCAGCCAGGCTAATGGGCGGATGCAGCGTTAGTGTGTTGAAAAGGCAGAGCCGCCGTAATTTCCTTTATTCAAGTAAAACAATGGCATGTGCTTGGTACTGATAACAGAAATGCAATTTTGAGTTTAGGAACTCAACTTTTTATTGCTACTTTTTATAACCATTACTGATTTGTGTTCAAGGCATTTCTAATTATTTTATATGGAAAATGTTACATACATTTTCTGTTTGAAAATAAATAAATAAAAACGTACACATACCCACTCAGATTTTCCTGTGTTTTTTTTTTTGTTGTTGATATTTTCCAATGAAAATCTTCTAAATAATAATGGCTGCTATCACAGGAATAAATTACATCTTAAAACATCTTAAAACAGAAAGCTGTTATTATAAATTGTAATAATATTTCTAAATATTACTGTTTTTACTGTATTTTTGAAAAAAATAAATGCACCCTAGGTGAGCATAAGAGACTTCTTTCACAGACACTTAAAAATCTTACATAACCCAACAAAACCCCACACACCCTTGAACACAAATACAAATCTGTACCAATAGACTAACATGGCATGTGCTTATATGAAGACTTAATAATTGTTACAAAGTGTTTTGTTTTTCTTTGGTTGTGTCTTATTTCGCCTATGGCATGAAAAATAGGTGCATGAACACAACCTAACTATGCAATATTTAAAATTTTTGTCCCAGGTATCATAATAACCAGCATAGTTAATTACATAAAACCATGTGATCAAAGTGCATTCTACAAGATTTTACATATTTCAGCCCGCGGTGCATCACGTTTCAGTCAGATGAAATGTTGTACTGGAATGTTTGAATCATAAATGTACTTAACACCAAAAGCTCACCTCTCATTGTGTGATTGTGTGGACGGATCCTCAATGAGTCCTAAAAGCTCTGGAGGGATGTACACATCTTTCTTCTCACCATAAACACAACTGGGTTTCTCAGACCATCTCTGAGAGAGCTCCACTGCAATAAGAGATCATTTGTTATGTTCAAACATGTATTTACAGTCACAAGTACACATCTTAAAACCTCTAATGGAACTACATGATATATATGATTTGATAAATGCTTTGATTTATGGGTGCTTTTTCATTAAAGGTAAAAATGTGATATATACCAAAAAAAGGGGGTGATGCAAACACTGAATTCGGGTGCTAATCAGGGATGGGGTACATGCAATGGAAATAATGAGAGATGTGAACAGAGTCCGTTCTCCTCTATCTGATTCTGTCCGCTGGCAACACTCACATATCGTCACGGGTTTCTTCTGTCTCATGGATGCTCTGATGATGTCGGTGCCATGGATCCTGTCTCTGTGTCTGTGATTCTTTGTCTCATAAAACCACTCCCCTGTCAAGTACTTCAGCCTGCTTCTGTCTCGCTCGTTCTTACGAAGCTGCCTGAAAGGACATCAAATTTCTAAATAAATAAACACACACACACATATATTTAAACATCCTGAAGTCCCAGCTGAGCCTAGTGACATCCACATAGGCAAATCCCAGTCATTGTCTGAACTGTAAACTGTTACTCCGGAAAGTTAAACTGAAAACTGAACTATTTTTTTTTTCCAGGACCCAGATATTCTTGTTTGACGTCAAATGGCAAATAACACAACCTGCAACCCATATTTAATGTAGCCTGGGTCAAATCTTATTTTTCTTTCATACATTTGTTCATGTAAAGGATGACGGCATCCCATACCACCTGTTTATATTTGCATCTGCCTAATTTAGCTCGTTTTTAACAAGTTACAGATTATTGACCAGTTTGATGGAATGAATGGCTTTTGATTTTATAAGCTTATGTAGTTTGCTACCCTAACTATGCACAATAAAATGGTCAAGTTGCATTTTCTTATTTGCATTTAGCATTATTAGTATTATTTTCTCCCATCCACAACCTTATTGGAACAGACCTGTCAATATTGTTTGGGTTTATTCAATAAATTCAATAAACAAATCCAAAAAGGTAAACATAAATAAGCACAATTATTTAAGACATGCAATCAATAGCAAGGAGCCAAATTGCATTAGTTTACAGGTATATGTAGTTCATCCAAAAACGAATTACCATTTTATTTTCTCATCATTATGTTGTTCCAAACCTATATGACTATAGGTGGAACATGAAAGAAAAAAAAGTTTTTATTGCCCATACATTGACAGTAAATGGTTTCCAGTGTTATTTGGACCCCAAGAGTAATACAGGTTTGGAATAGCATAAGGGCCTGGATCAAACAGAATGCATTTTTGCATTTAAAAATATGAGATACAGGGCAGTGGAATGGGGAAAAAAAGACACAATGCCTAGTCTTAAAAGATTAACTTATTTTAACTTGAGCACTGTATTTTTAGAACGGTATATCATGCGCGACAAAAGATTCGAGAACAGGAAAAAAAAAACAGGTCTTCAGACACATTAAAAGTTGAATTTATTTTAAATTTAAGGACACATTTTTAGAATGGCATGTGCACAACGCTGCAAAAGACGTGAGATGTGAGAACAATGTTAAAATACATTCCTCTGTTTACATACACAAACACTGGAGAAGTGGAAATATGGAATGCAAAAATGCGTTCAGTGTAAATGGCCCATTAGTTTGAATAATAAGTGGACTATCGCTTTAATAACTAGTTACGCCTCTATATACATTCTTCAAAAAACCTTTCCCCTATACTCACTTGATCCTCTGTTCTTCCAACTTCTTAAGCTCTGCATCTCTCTTCAGCACTGCCAGGATCATCTCTTGCTCTTCCTCTGTCAGATAACTCAGGTCAATCATGATGAATGGCTTCGGAGTAAGTGATGCTAACAGATGAGTCTCAGATCGCCTGGTTCACTGAAAGTGTCAAGAGCATCACTGTGGGTAACTTGAAGGCTGATGCTTGATAAGTCACTCCATCACATCATGGAGAACATCAGAGGAGCACCTGCACCAGACACACAGGAGTATCAACAAATTAAAAAAAACACAGTATGAGCTTGGCTCACAAAGAACTATGTCTTCCTGTGAATTCTTCTGACCATCAAGATATCACATGATCCTAATTGAATCTATGAGCTGGGATTTCAAGACGTCTGCTTCGAGCATCATCTACGCTTCCCTAAACATCTGAAATTACATATTGTTTCTCTATATCAACTCCAGTCCACACAGTATGAGCTCAACACTGGACATGTGACATGGCATTGTCAGATGACTGTCAGAGGATATGAGTACTGGTTGCTTCTCAGAGCAAAGAGCACAGTCAAAGACTCTTTTATTCCTAAATCAAATTACACTTAACTCAAATTAGGTGGCAGCACACAAATGGTATCAATTTGAACAGTCTGCTTTTCTAAAAAAAACAGTTTAGAAACCCATGAAAAAATAGGAATATGTCTAAACCATTTAAATTTTGGGATAGAATGACCATTGGCAGAATTCCACACGTCTATATAAGGTAATATAACAAATAGAAGAAAAAAAAATACTGAAAAACAAATCTAACAAAATATTTTGTAAAAGAGCTTTGTGCAATAATAAGAGACAAATTCCTTCTCATTGCATTGTGCCAGTGACTTTTATGAATAAACTGTACTTAAAATGTCTTATAAATAGTTTACAGAGAGCTTAAATAAACAAATGTCTATACCAGAGAGACATTTTTCATAAATAAGAAATGTGACATTTTTTTTTTCTCATTTATTTATTTTATTTATTAATTATTTTGCATATTTTAAGATGACAATCTATAATCAGTTTTCTGGCTGTCCTGTCAGATTAATTTGGCTTGCATAATTGTGTGCAATAAGGCTACATTTAATGCTAAATGAATCATAAAAATGAACAGCAATAAGTTCCTATGTCTTGCAAGGGCATATCTTTGATAAAGCTATGACACATTCCAGCCAGAGTGGAAGTTTGCTGTTACATTCCTATTTTGGAAACCTGTTCCCGAGTCATTTCCATGAAAAACGCTTCTACATGGGTTTACTCAGACACACACACACACAAATCATATCAGACAAGCATTTTCCTTCTTGTTCCAAGAACAGTATGATTCTTTAGATTCTTTAGTAATGGTATTTTTAAATATTTACTTTTTAAAATCTAAATTTCTCGCCTAAAATACACTGCTAAATGATTTCTCTCAGTACAAATCAGATTTCAAAATGACACAATAAAGCATTTAAGTGTCCGGTGGTTCTGAGAAAGGCATGTCCTGACAACATCGGTGGGACGATCCTCTAGGGATACGCCATTACCAGAATAGAGAAGAACTAGTCTTATCCAAACAGAGACATGAATAATGCATGTTAATCATTTGCCTGTTCCACATCCCTTTGAGGCATGTACCGTAACAGAGAGTTGTCACCTGGTTTGGGTTCACTTATTACAGGTTTGCAGTTTTACTGTTACAAACCGTTTTACAGGGTTTCAAGCATCTGAGCTTTTTTTCAGTGACTAAGAGAATGTTTTAGTTCAGTTTTTTTTTCATCCAAGATAATGTAAATCATGTGCCAAGCCAGCATTATCAAATTACAACTACATATGAAATAATACTTTTTAAAAATCAGCTTTGAACATGCTATCATATGAAGTGGTTTGCTGATTTTTTTTTGTGCTTCAATTATGTATTAAGAAAAAGAAAAGAAAAGAAAAAAAGTAACTAATCACTCTCTGAGCTGGATATAAATAAATACTCTGCATTCTTTCCTAAATAGCTTTACAAGCATTAACAGATTAAGGAAGCAGGAAATGAGAAAACATTCACAGTGGCTCCAGAGATAAAAACTCTAAACTCCAGACATGAAAACAACCTAATGAAATGAGCGCCTGTTGAAACAGAACCCATCCCTGTCACAGCATGCAGCAAAACTTCCAACTCACTGTGAAGTTAAAGTTTTAAAAGGTAAAAACAGTATTAAGGGAAAGAAGTATTAATGTAAAATAAAAAAGTTTACCTGAATCTTGCTTGTGTGGCTGCCAGACCGCGATATTTTCCAACACAGTTACTGTAACATCTGAAACACCAGAGGAACAAAATGATTTAAATGTCCAGCTTTAAAGTGAGGCGTGTACAGGTGTGTGTGTGTGTGTGTGTGTGAGGGAGTACTCCACGAGCTCGCGTGCACAGCACACTGGCTGCGTGTGAACAACTAGTAAGAGCTAAAAATGTGGCTGATGAACTTGTGGGGAGTTCCAAACGAAATCCTGAAATGCTGTCTAGGTAGGAGGTTCACTAAGCGTGTTCGACTGCTGTAAAGTTAGTCTGACGTTCGGTTTCATACCAATTAAACTCTTTGCGCCTGTTATGTTTTGAGCACAAAGTAACTCAGATAGACATAAATATATGCCTTTTACGATGCACAAGGCTTCATTTCTAGAAAAAAAATTAAATAAATTAACCATATAAATTAATTAAACAATTTAACTACATGACATTATATAAAACCAAAACTAAAATGTTCAGAAAAACATCCCTGCTATTGCACAAAGCTCCGTTTTTGAAATTACCATTTTATGTGTTTTATAATAATTGTACAACTTTTAATGTATGCAATAATATAAATCCATTAAACGACAACACCATTTGATCTAAAGGTATCAAACCAACTGTAAAAATCTTTCAATATTATTCCCTATAATGCACAATGCTTGTTTTTTTCATATGATGGTTGTATTGTTTTTATATACAGTACTGACACCATATTTTTGATATGTTTAATATACTATAGCCTACCTACTTAAATTCATTAAACTCTGACACCGTTTCAGATAAAGGTATCAGACCAACTATAAAAATCTCTAAATATTATTCCCTGTAATGCACAAGGCTTGGTTTTTCAGATTATGTCTTTATTGTTTTTATATATGGTACTGAAACCATATTTTTGATATGTTTAATATACCTACTTAAATTAATTCAACTCTGACTCCGTTTGAGATCATTTATAAAGATAGCAAACCAATTGTAAAATATTCCGAATATTATTCCCTATAATGCACAAGGCTTGTTTTTCAGATTATTAATCAGATGTTTTAAATACAGTACTGAACCCATTTAAATCCATTAAACTTGAACACCATTTGAGCTAAAGATATCAAACCAACTCTAAATTACTCTGAATATTATTCTGCATGATGCACAAGGCTTATTTTTCTGATTATTAATCTGATATTTTTATATACAGTACTGAATCTTGAATTTTTTTAGACAGCCCTGGAATCCATTTAAATCCATTAAACTTGAACACCACTTCAGCTAAAGGAATGAAACCAACTGTAAATTACTCTGCATATTATTCTGGCTGATGCACAAGGCTTATTTGTTCTGATTATTAATCTGATATACAGTGGTGTGAAAAAGTGTTGGCCCCCTTCCTGATTTCTTATTTTTTTGCATGTTTGTCACACTTTAATGTTTCAGATCATCAAACTAATTTAAATATTAGTCAAAGATAACACAAGTGAACACAACATGCTGTGTTCACTTGTGTTATCTTTTACTAATATTTAAATTTGTTTGATGATCTGAAACATTAAAGTGTGACAAACATGCAAAAAAAGAAGAAATCAGGAAGGGGGCCAACACTTTTTCACACCACTGTGTATATATATATATATATATATATATATAATGTACAGATATATTATTTTGCAGTTGGTTTAATACCTTTAGCGGAAACGGTGTTAGAGTTTAATTAATTTAAGTATGTACAGTATATTAAACATATCAAAAATATGGTGTCAGTACTGTATATAAAAACAATAGAGGCATAATCAGAAAAACCAAGCCTTGTGCATTACAGTGAATAATATTTAGAGATTTTTACAGTTGGTTTGACACCTTTATCTCGAACAGAGTCAGAGTTTAATTAATTTAAGTGGGTACAGTATATAAAACATATTAAAGATATGGTTTTACCATATATAAAAACAAAAAAGACATAATCTGAAAAACCAACCCTTTTGCATTATAGGGAATAATATTTAGAGATTTGTACAGTTGGTTTGATACCTTTAGATCAAATGGTGTTGTCGTTTAATGGATTTATATTATTGCATACATCAAAAGTTGTAAAATTATTATAAATCACATAAAATGGTAATTCCAAAAGCGGAGCTTTGTACAATAACAGGGATGTTTTTCTGAACATTTTAGTTTTGGTTTTATATAATGTCATGTAGTTAAATTGTTTAATTAATTTATATGGTTAATTTATTTGTATGTATTTTTCTTCTAGAAATTAAGCCTTGTGCAACGTAAAGGGCATATATTCAAGTCTATCTGAGTTAGGTTGGGCTCAAAACATAACAGGCACAAAGAGTTTAATTGGTATGAAACCGAAGGTCTAATGAATGTCAATAACTTTACCTGTGTTATCCCCTGTGCGCGCTCATAAAGGCGTGATCACGCTCTGTCACTCTCATAAACCTTCACACACACGTGCCATATACATCATGTCATTACATGTCCTCTCGATGACTGCACAAAACATCCTGTGCATCCTTTAATAAGGCACTTATTATGTATATGTACGAAAATGAAACATCATCTATAGCAGGGGTGCCCAAACTCGGTCCTGGAGGGCCGGTGTCCTGCAGAGTTTAGATCCAACCCCAGTTAGACACACCTGAACCATCTAATCAAGCTCTTACTAGGCATACTAGAAACCTCCAGGCAGGTGTGTTGAGGCAGGTTGGAGCTAAACTCTGCAGGACATCGGCCCTCCAGGACCGAGTTTGGGCACCTCTGATCTATAGCATCACTGCAGACAGCCTTCATTCGGTCTTCACTCCCTGTGATTCAGAGTGTTTAATGAACATGTGTAGTTATCTTATCTTAACACGGTCTCTTTGAAAGTTTCATAAATGCTGTTGCTTTTGTTTGTTTGTCATAAAGTTGATAATTTCCTGACATAAGGGAAAATGAGCGAGATATTAGATACAGCATCTCTGTCAGAGGCCTTCATACAATTCCAGTTAGTACAGTGCTTAATTTTGTCACTGCTTTGCCTATTATTGTGACCTAATATAGGCTCTCTTCTAATAGAATTCAGGTTAAAATGAAAGAGATTGAAGACTTTGAGAAAGAAATAGGCCAACTAGAAGATAAGAAGAAAAAAACAGCTTGTGAAGATGATGGAGGAAGACTAAAATCAAACAGGTGTCTGCTGCAGGAGCAGCTGAGAGAAGAGCATAGAGGTCATGTGCGTGAACTGCAGAAACAGATGAAGGAGCAGGAGAGGAACCTGGAGCAAAGGCAGCGAGAAGATGAAGGGCAGGTGGAGCGCATGGCCCGAGAGAACCTGGAGCTAAATCACAAGCAAGAGAAAGAACTAGAAAGTAGTTGAGTGACAATAACAAAGTTTTGAGGGAAGAGTTCACTCAGAAATGACTGTCATCATTTACTCACCCTCATGTTCTAACCTACTGTTACAATAAATGGGAATTAAATCTTTCAAGCTTGAAAAATGATGCAAAAATATAAATATATTTTACATATAAATGTAAAATATAAAATAATTCCACTATATTCAACAACATCTAAAGCAATATTTCAGGAGTGGATTCATGTACTAAGACGATGATACCAAAGACCAAATTTAGTACACCTTATTAATAAAACATACTGTGTAGTTACAAGCAAGCAGATACATTTTAATATCACTGTCTAAGTTAATACTGGCGAGTCAGAGTAAACTTCGAATTTTGGGCTGAACTAACCCTTTAAGCATTTTAGAATGTTCCCACTTTTCAAGCTTCAAAAAAGATGTAAAATACCATAAAAGAACATAAAAGAACATTAAACAATTAAAAATGACTTGTGAGCTATATTCATAATCTCATCTAAAGCCATGTATGATAGCTTTGTGTTTGGTGTGTTCATGAGAATCAGCAAGGTCCAGTTTGGGAACGAATCATTCAAGAGTCGGATCTTCTCAGTGAAACAGATTTCCTTTCATAAAACCGATCTGAATGATTCATTCACGAATTGATTAAGTTATCGAGCTGCAGACGTTCCAGTGAATAAATCATACAAAGCTACAGCTACAGAAAACCTATAGCGTACAACATGTACAGTATGGACTACTTTTATGGTGATGTGACATAAATCAAAAATGTACATTGCTGTGCCTCAGTGAGCTTTTTAAAACGTTTGTGTGGTATATGCAGTATTGTGTTAATCTTTAGAACTGTGCTGCAAGCTTGCAAGTGAAGGAACTGCAGGCGGAACAGCAGGTATGGCTGCAGTATAAGAACCAGGGCAGCATTAAAGACCAGCAAAAGATACAAAAAATGGAAAAAGATACTGCCTCAACACAAAGGATTTTTCAGGAGATATCAGGTGTGTTTTCCATTGTTCTACTTAACTCAGAACACAAATATTAATTGATTTAAATATAGATTTATATTTAAAAAAAATGACTTTAATCAAAATTTGTGTGTAAACAAAAATGTAAATTGTTAATTTTTATTTTATTAATTTGTATGTAATATGTAAACATCTGCTATGTGAAACAGCTTATTCAGGACAGGACTACTAAATAAAAATAATGAATACTGCTTTGTAGATTCTTTAAGGTGTATGTAAACTTAAGACAAAAACAGCATCATGTTTAAATTACATAACACAAATAATTGAATATTAAAAACCCAGAATATTTTCAGAGATCTCTGGTTGCGGCTGTTGATGAAACGGAGCAAAAGATAGCACAGAGTTTAAAGGATGGAATTCAGCTCGCCTTTGAGATGCTGCGGACATGTTATTGTTGTCTGAATTGAGACTATTACATCTGTTCTGAGATACTGAAACTCTCTTTATGCTTCAGAGAGCAAATGAAAACCTTGATAGTAAGAGTAAATTCGAGATTAAAGAAATGCATTGGCTGAGAAAGCAGGTGTGGTCATGTTTTAGGTTCTATTTTACATACATCTTATTGTACATGCAAAGACAATGCAGCTAATCGTCCATATCAGGTTCCCCTATATAATGTGAAGGTCGCAGTGTTGGAATCCACCATACAGAAGTTAGAAGAGGAGATCTTGGATCTCGTTTCCCAAGTAATGTGTTTCTTGCACAATCTGCTAGCCTTGGGTCCCATGACACCCACAGTGTGGACAGGAACATAATGAAAATAAGCCTCGAGGAAACATCGGGTAATCCAAACATCCCTAATAATAGCAGTGTTCAGTCTAAGAATATAAAAAGACTTAACTGAACACATGGCGCTTTAGAATTATTTTGCATCGACCTTTTATAACCAATAGATGGCATCATAACAGTAGCATACTGAAACAGACTAAAATACCAGGAGAAATCCCTCCTTCAATGACAGTTGTTCGGCTAGTGCTGGACCCTTGGAAGTACGCAGATTGAAATCTGCTATATTAGTTCAAGAGTGAATGAAATTCTATATGATTTCTTCCAGTTGGGAAGTAATCATTTTGAATTATTAGCAAAATATAATATATGCTCACATTCAATCTTATTTGTATGCCTAATATGTCAAAAACGCAAAACATTTCTTATCGTCACATTCTGTCAGGAATTACATGACACATAATAATACCACACAAAACTCTCAAGTATACTCTCAGTATTAGCAGTTGGATGGAGGATGTGTGACTCTGAATGCTGCCACTGTTCAGCCCTCACTGAATTAGAGGAAGTATTGTCATTATATCCACAATGCATTACAGGACAGCTGTGTTTTCATTACCGCTCAAACTTCATGTCCTCAGCGGTTTAAACTTAATTGAGTGCAGGCCTATATAGAGCTAACAGCTACACATACTACACTGATGTTGGCCATCAAATACCTGTCATTAATCACCCATAATGCCTATTCCTTTCCGGTTGACAGACCCCCATATCCCCTCCAGCTATTAGCAGAAGCCGAAGGGGCTCAACAGAGAAAAAATGTACATTGCTGTGCCTCAGTGAGCTTTTTAAAACGTTTGTGTGGTATATGCAGTATTGTGTTAATCTTTAGAACTGTGCTGCAAGCTTGCAAGTGAAGGAACTGCAGGCGGAACAGCAGGTATGGCTGCAGTATAAGAACCAGGGCAGCATTAAAGACCAGCAAAAGATACAAAAAATGGAAAAAGATACTGCCTCAACACAAAGGATTTTTCAGGAGATATCAGGTGTGTTTTCCATTGTTCTACTTAACTCAGAACACAAATATTAATTGATTTAAATATAGATTTATATTTAAAAAAAATGACTTTAATCAAAATTTGTGTGTAAACAAAAATGTAAATTGTTAATTTTTATTTTATTAATTTGTATGTAATATGTAAACATCTGCTATGTGAAACAGCTTATTCAGGACAGGACTACTAAATAAAAATAATGAATACTGCTTTGTAGATTCTTTAAGGTGTATGTAAACTTAAGACAAAAACAGCATCATGTTTAAATTACATAACACAAATAATTGAATATTAAAAACCCAGAATATTTTCAGAGATCTCTGGTTGCGGCTGTTGATGAAATGGAGCAAAAGATAGCACAGAGTTTAAAGGATGGAATTCAGCTCGCCTTTGAGATGCTGCGGACATGTTATCGTTGTCTGAATTGAGACTATTACATCTGTTCTGAGATACTGAAACTCTCTTTATGCTTCAGAGAGCAAATGAAAACCTTGATAGTAAGAGTAAATTCGAGATTAAAGAAATGCATTGGCTGAGAAAGCAGGTGTGGTCATGTTTTAGGTTCTATTTTACATACATCTTATTGTACATGCAAAGACAATGCAGCTAATCGTCCATATCAGGTTCCCCTATATAATGTGAAGGTCGCAGTGTTGGAATCCACCATACAGAAGTTAGAAGAGGAGATCTTGGATCTCGTTTCCCAAGTAATGTGTTTCTTGCACAATCTGCTAGCCTTGGGTCCCATGACACCCACAGTGTGGACAGGAACATAATGAAAATAAGCCTCGAGGAAACATCGGGTAATCCAAACATCCCTAATAATAGCAGTGTTCAGTCTAAGAATATAAAAAGACTTAACTGAACACATGGCGCTTTAGAATTATTTTGCATCGACCTTTTATAACCAATAGATGGCATCATAACAGTAGCATACTGAAACAGACTAAAATACCAGGAGAAATCCCTCCTTCAATGACAGTTGTTCGGCTAGTGCTGGACCCTTGGAAGTACGCAGATTGAAATCTGCTATATTAGTTCAAGAGTGAATGAAATTCTATATGATTTCTTCCAGTTGGGAAGTAATCATTTTGAATTATTAGCAAAATATAATATATGCTCACATTCAATCTTATTTGTATGCCTAATATGTCAAAAACGCAAAACATTTCTTATCGTCACATTCTGTCAGGAATTACATGACATAATAATACCACACACAACTCTCAAGTATACTCTCAGTATTAGCAGTTGGATGGAGGATATGTGACTCTGAATGCTGCCACTGTTCAGCCCTCACTGAATTAGAGGAAGTATTGTCATTATATCCACAATGCATTACAGGACAGCTGTGTTTTCATTACCGCTCGAAACTTCATGTCCTCAGCGGTTTAAACTTAATTGAGTGCAGGCCTATATAGAGCTAACAGCTAAACATACTACACTGATGTTGGCCAGCAAATACCTGTCATTAATCACCCATAATGCCTATTCCTTTCCGGTTGACAGACCCCCATATCCCCTCCAGCTATTAGCAGAAGCCGAAGGGGCTCAACAGAGAATTGATGCGACCACGTCTGGTAGCACAACAACTTCCACCCCACCTGACTTTAGCAAGATTTTCAGCAGTCAGACTGATTTCACGGTAACAAATTGTACTACATTTATAGACGATACTTGCTGTGTTTGCCCCACCTAGTCACATTAAGGGTGAAGATGGCATCAATAAACAGTCATTAATTTTTGATTAGCAATGAATGCATGACTAATGACACGCTCCCTCAGAAGGGCCCACTGTGCTTATGTTTGAGATATTATCAGGCAACATACCCAGAAAGGATCTCTGCCAAAGGCAGCAAATCTTAAAAAGGCCCTCTCAGTGGCACATAAGCAAGATAAGATCTGTGGAAACACAGTGTCTGTGATTTTCCCACTGCCATTTCTAGGCATCATGGGCTAGAATATAGATGACACAAGTAGGGATGGGGAACAGTCACTGCCCTTGTTAGAGAAGCCAAACTGGAACCCGCGTTAACGTGCTGCGTTTGTGTTTGTGTGAAGGGGCCGACGCATCTGGTCTTGCTGGAGCAGATGCTGCTGTGCGTGATAGGTAAAGCATATCCCCTGCACACACTGCCGAACGATCCCACGGATATGGGCGAGGAGATGACCCTTGACCTGCTGCAAACTGAAAGGTGGCCGGTTACAACAGATGTCATCAATAGAAAGTTTCAACAGTCACTTTCACAGTCTGGAGAATCGGATGCATCTGTAAATGACACCTGTGAAATTCAGCAGTTGTTGGATAAGAATTGAAATACAGAAATGGCAATAATTCCCACCGACTCCAAATATATATACACATTGTTTGCCCCACCTAGTCACATTAAGGGTGAAGATGGCATCAATAAACAGTCATTAATTTTTGATTAGCAATGAATGCATGACTAATGACACGCTACCTCAGAAGGGCCCACTGTGCTTATGTTTGAGATATTATCAGGCAACATACACAGAAAGGATCTCTGCCAAAGGCAGCAAATCTTAAAAAGGCCCTCTCAGTGGCACATAAGCAAGATAAGATCGGTGGAAACACAGTGTCTGTGATTTTCCCACTGCCATTTCTAGGCATCATGGGCTAGAATATAGATGACACAAGTAGGGATGGGGAACAGTCACTGCCCTTGTTAGAGAAGCCAAACTGGAACCCGTGTTAACGTGCTGCGTTTGTGTTTGTGTGAAGGGGCCGACGCATCTGGTCTTGCTGGAGCAGATGCTGCTGTGCGTGATAGGTAAAGCATATCCCCTGCACACACTGCCGAACGATCCCGCGGATATGGGCGAGGAGATGACCCTTGACCTGCTGCAAACTGAAAGGTGGCCGGTTACAACAGATGTCATCAATAGAAAGTTTCAACAGTCACTTTCACAGTCTGGAGAATCGGATGCATCTGTAAACGACACCTGTGAAATTCAGCAGTTGTTGGATAAGAATTGAAATACAGAAATGGCAATAATTCCCACCGACTCCAAATATATATACACATACACACACACACACACACACACACAAATAATGTAAAATAATAATTAAAAAAAGGATGAATCAATAGACAAACAAACACTCAGTTCTGTGGAAGCTGCACTTTATTTGAAAATCACCCAAATTCTGCTTCATTTTTTTTTGTCATGTAAACAAAATAGAATCTGCAGGGATGATGCAGTAAATATGCTAAATCAATGGATAGAATCGCCCTCATATTCGGGCCACCCTTTGTGTAATTCCCTATTGGACAGGGCCTGATTTATATAGACGGAGCACTGATCAACAGACCCCTCCCCTCCCCTCATCACTCTACTGGACCTACAGCAAGACACTACCAACCCCATCCTGATACCGACAACAACCTGCGTTTCTCGCTCACAATCGCACCCACAAACACACACACAATTGTTCTCCTCCTGGATGGACCGAAAATGAAGGCGACTCTGCACATTCAGGTTGAAAAGGCAGCCATATAACTGTCAAATGTAAAATAATGACATGCCAAGCAGAAAGCAATACAGATCTTCCCCAAATGCAATGTCACTGAATCACAAATGTAGTGCTTTGCTAAATGCTTCCCTCACAAAAACCCACCCACCCACCTCCCTGGGGCACTGAACTGACTATGTGGCATAATGATTCATATATTTTATCTTATGTCCGTTACGAATGGAGGGCGGTGAGCGTTTGAGCTACAAAGAAATTGCACTAGACACACAACTGCTTCTGAGAATACTTAGTGTTGTATCAGTCAGTTTATAGGTGTCCATTTCCCCCCATTTTTATATTATATATATATATATATATTTTTTTTCATAATTCAGTCACTCAGAATCCGAATTACACAACCAATCATACCCATATGAATGCATAATTCGAAACACCTCCCGTAAGGAAGAGTAAAAAAAAAAGACAATTAATTTCTTTCATGTCCTCAGTGGGTAAATCATAAATAAATACAGACAATACACAAGGAATGTCTACTGCAAACCTCATAACAAAAAATAAAAATAAAGTAGAAATCATAGTAGAAACCAATGTTAGAATTTCTAATGGGTGATGGTTAAATCAGGTAATGCTTGTTTGGTAATCGGATAAAGACCACCAAAATCCCTCCCTGATTCCTCTTTTTGCCATTCCATGGAAAAAAAAGTGAAGCCGTGTTTGAGTGAAAACCCACCACATTCCAGCACTCGCGCTCTCTCAACACCCATGAGTTTCGTTACAGATGCAGATCGGTACAATAACTGTTACAGCGACAAATTACAAAGTGAGCGCTGTGTCCTCCATCTCTGGGTAACAGAGTCTTACCCATCCCAACCCCACCCGTCATATCCCATAAAGCCCCTCCCCACCCCTCCCTCTGATTCCTGTACAGGATTGTACTGGGGCAGAACTCTCCATGAAGAGTCGAATAGCCAACTGGAGAGAGATTAAAGGTTTGAGATTTGCCGTATAAATCATCCTTGGGAAGCATCGACACTCCTTCACCTACATGAACTGCATCTGGAATCAAAGAAATGCATATTTACGGATAACGTCAAAGTGTCATTTTAGAACATGTTTTTGTATATTTGACACATTGCGATGAACGGACACATTATGACATTTTATACCAAGTCCAGGATAGTAAGTTTGAATGTTTTTTTTGGATGATTGACTGAGCATCCTAATTTTAATGTCACTAAATGAATTGAACATGCAAATGTAACCAGTAAAGCAGCCAGTAAATGATGAGATGAGTTTATGAAGCTACAACTCAGGTTAACTTGCTACAAAAATTAAAAATATGATTAAAACTTAAAGGGGCCATGTCACTTTTTTTCTCCCCCAAAGTTTTATTTGTACCAAAACCATTACTAATGCTTAGAATTAACACATGTACTGTACACATACAGCCAGATTTGTCTAAATCGCACATACTCTGTACACTCAGCTCACACTGTCCCGGGTCATTGCTTCACAGTCGGAAAAGAAAAAGATACAAAATAACAATAACTACTGGAGGCCACAACAACAACAGACACCTGCGTTGAGCGCTTGTTTAAGAAGGTTAAGCTAGTAGTTTAAAAGTGTTTAAAGACATTTTTAGCTCTCATAACTTATGGGGAGTATACACGCAGACACTAGACAAGGATGACACTTTCTAATGCACCTGTCAAAACAACTGATGGATAGAACAGAGTCCCACCCTACATTTTTTTTTCTTTCCCGATAATCCTTATCATTCAGATGTATGTCATAATACAGAAGAAAATATCTGTTGCTACTTCCATTACATCGTGACTAAAAGATTTGATTCCACAGGATATGACCCCTTTAAATCAAAAGGAAATACAGAACAAAATCATGAATGATTTGTAAATGAACTTTAAGAGCTTGATGCTATACCTTTTAAAGCATAAAAATGGCTCTGTTGAAGCTGAAGCTGAATTTACAAATCACATCATTGATGAATATAGAAAACATTAGTATTGCAGCACATGGAAAACAGGGGTAAGAGTTTTGACAATAGAAACACAAACACTGTAATAAAGCAAGAAGCACCTGTTGATCAATCACACACACACACACACACACACACACACAGTACCTAAAGACGCTCTAAAGGAAATCCTTCAGAGACAGCTGTGCAAAAGGGTCCTGTCCCGGAGCTCTGAGGGGACTTGAACTGGAAGGACTAGAGGCTGTAGAGAGCTAGTTCAGAAAGAACGAGAGAGATTGAATGGGTCCGAGGACAGCCAGGAAACACTCAGACACACACACACACACACTCACGAGAGGAAAATTCAGAGCCAGAAAGGCTAGAGAATAACAGAGAGGTTCAGAAAAAAAGAGGGGTATTTTCTAGCCACTATTTCCTGCGCTAACAATACTGCAGAAATGAAGCAGGGGTGGCACGATATGTATTTCGAGCTGAGAATTTAGTGCGGTGTGGAATACATATCCTTCCCCAGAGATGTGTGAAGGCATCAATGCTAGTGTTCATATTCAGAACAGCACTGTGATGGCGCATGAGGGTGAACAAACTAGAGTGCATTCTGAATAGAGCCTCTGGCATTCTAGAGCTGCTTCTAGAATAGAGCGTGATCAGTCAGGGTTGAGCGGATGGCTCTATTACAAGAATGATCATGGGGCTGGATAAATGCAAAAACATTTATTAAAAAGCGGAAACCCATGGATGCTACTGTGCTCTGAAATGGACAAATTTGATTGGATTAGGGTGTGGTCACTTTAGCAAATTTTTGCGACCAAAATTTTTTTTTTCAAAAAGTCAGAGCTCACACAGAAACCTCTTTCAAAACTAGCAACTGCCCGTTGGTCAATCCAACTATTACTTTAATACTGCAGAAATGAAGCAGGGGTGGCACGATATGTATTTCGAGCTGAGAATTTAGTGCGGTGTGGAATACATATCCTTCCCCAGAGATGTGTGAAGGCATCAATGCTAGTGTTCATATTCAGAACAGCACTGTGATGGCGCATGAGGGTGAACAAACTAGAGTGCATTCTGAATAGAGCCTCTGGCATTCTAGAGCTGCTTCTAGAATAGAGCGTGATCAGTCAGGGTTGAGCGGATGGCTCTATTACAAGAATGATCATGGGGCTGGATAAATGCAAAAACATTTATTAAAAAGCGGAAACCCATGGATGCTACTGTGCTCTGAAATGGACAAATTTGATTGGATTAGGGTGTGGTCACTTTAGCAAATTTTTGCGACCAAATTTTTTTTTTTCAAAAAGTCAGAGCTCACACAGAAACCTCTTTCAAAACTAGCAACTGCCCGTTGGTCAATCCAACTATTACTTTCATTTGGTCAATGCAAAACTAAAAATTTTGTCTGTGAAAATTCACTAAACAATGGTAAATGTGACCAGACCGTAAGACTTCTAAATTTCATTGCTTGAGGGTTAACTGATTTGTAACCACATTGTGTGTGAGATCATACCTGTGCCCCTGAGACTGGGCCGAAGGGATTGGCCGGCCGCATCACAGGCTGAGTGTACATCATGGTGGGCTGGGTCATCATGGTCATGGAGCCCATGTGAGGGGGCTAGAAAGGAATAAAACCAAAGTTAAAGGAATAAAGAAACCAAGTGAGCAATGAGTAATGCTTGTCATGGCTGTTGGGACACAGCGTTTCTATCTGGAACTTTAAATGCCAATAGCTTACAAAGTTTCTCTGTTGACATCATATTTTGTTTGACAGTACTGCAACTCAGCAAAGAGGAATGTGAGCCAGTCTGAACCCACTGTTCTGGAGTTACTGTTTAACCCCACCTGAGCTACATGACACGCAGCAGACAGGAAAAGTGGGGTTTTTGGAGCAACTCATATTTTACTACATTAGTTCTAACTCTTAAAAGAAAAAAAGCTGAGGTACACACAAAAATTGGACTGGAGGATCCAAAATGGATGAGTCATAATAGCAGTTATGTAAGTGCAGATGCTGTTATTGAAAAGCATAATTTACAGAGCGCCATCCTCCCGTTAAGCCATTAACCACGGCCTGCGCTGACTTTACCTGTATTGCTTACTCAACCTCTATTACTGGGTTCTATTGAGCACATTGTAAATCTGTAAAAGATGGCTAAAAGACATAAGACTCAAATTTGATTATAGATAGAAGTATCATGCCTATGTGCCCCCTCAGTTCAAATTAAATTCAATTCAAAATAATAATAATAAAATAAAATGTATAAAAAATATAAAATTATAGTTTTTAATTATAATATATTTTTATTACCAATAATAATAATAACACTAATTAATATAATTAAAATACAATCAGGTGCTAAATCAGGTTTTTAAAATACGTCCTCTATGTTTAATAAATAAGCAAACAAGCAAATACAATTATAATTTAAAATATAATAAATTATATGACATAATAATAATAATAATAATTACACATTTTATAAAAAATTAAACTTAAATATATCATTATGAATTAAATTATAAGGTACTACATTAGAATGTACAACAAGGGTCCTCTTTCATGTGTAATAAATACAAATAAATAAAACCTAAAATATATAATTATTATGAATAAAACAAGGAGCTACATCACATCTTATGTCCTCTCTCATGTTTAATAAATAAACAATCAAACACACACACACACACACTAGACTATCCAGTCTTACACCAGAAAAAAAGTAGTGTTTCAAGAACATGCAACACACACGCCCTGATCTTTTTTTCTCAAAGCTAAGGGTTCATGGAGGAGAAAGCAATGTAGCCATCCCTGTTAATGTGATGAATAAAATACACAGAGGAAAAAAGAAAAGAAAAAAAAGTGTCTGTAATGTTGCCCTAAGCTTAATAAAGAGGTGCTTCGGACTCTAGAGAGCCTTTCACTGTGTTCCGCACACCCACACTGCTCCGGTGGGGACTTACTTACAGCATCACTGCAGCCTCTGAATATACAGAAGATGAAAAGCTAATACGTCTGACACTGATGGAGTGAGTGATGCACAAATCCCCAGTTTGCACTCACCATTGCGTATCCCATCATTCCTGTGGGCGTTGTGGCAGGGAAGGCCATGATAGAAGTAGCCTAGGAGGACATGTTCGGCGTTAGTACAGAAATACCACAGGTAAAACATCATCAGCTTTTTTTTTTTTTTTTTAGCATGAAAGCGATTCTTCTGAACACCTTAAGTGATACATTTCCACTCTAGCAGCCATGAGATCACAACTGCCCCAGACACACAGTGCTCAGTGAACAAAGGCAACTTTGTGCAAGTGGACTAACAGAACACTTTTTAAAAATTAATTCGCAAGAGATACTTGAGTCTTTTAGCCTTTTCTCTTCATGGACAGCTGCTCACATCTGGGAAACATTAGAAATGTCTTTACACACTCCAACCAGAGCATCAAAATAGGATTATAGGCAAGGAGATAAAGAGGAAGAGAGCGAGAGTGTTTGTGTCCTCTTTGAACGCAGAGTGATTAGTTGCAGGTGCAGGGCTCTGGTGGAAGAGAGAAGCTCTTTGTGAAGGAGCTGTGAGATTCTCAGTAAGGCCTTCAGTAGCCACAGACACACTTTTATTTCCACTCGTGCACCATTGAAATGTGTGACAGACTCTGAACGGCCTCCTAAATTCAGCAGAGTGATGGTGACCAAATGACCAATAAATTGTAAAATAAACATCTTCATAGAACACGAACTGAGGTCATTTACCCATCAACTAAGAGTTTGAAAACTGTGAGGTTGTTTTGATGTCACAACACCCCTTAACACGCTGGTGTACATATCTGTGGTGGATAAAATTAATACAACATTTAATTATTTAAATAAATGCACAAAACAAAAACAATCGACTTCCTTAAAAATATTTTAATTTTACCACTGTAAAGCTGCTTTGACACAATCTGTATTGTATAAAGCGCTATATAAATAAAGGTGACTTGACTTGAAGGATCATGTGACACAATATTACTGGTTTTGCTATTTTGACCAAAATTATGCAGCCTTGGTGAGCACAAGAGGCTTATTTCGTACTAAACCTCAAACTTTTGACCAATACAAAACATTTTAACATAACCTTTTTTCAAATGCTCTGAACAGTTGAACGTGGAGCCATAATTATCCATTTTATAAAAGATAATTCCATTTACAGCCTAATATTGATCTTTTAGAAATATAAAACTCAACTGTGTGTTTTTTTCCTGTGTACACAACACTAAATCAGAACATACGGCAATGAATCTCAAGATGATGAAAGATAAACGTGTTTGCAGACTTTAAGGAATCTCATTAAGATACTTTCGCAAACTTCTAGCCAGAGTAAGCAAACATCTCAGTCGTACGGCAGTCTTAGATGGAACAGCACCTACAGAAATGTTTGACAAGCACAAACAACTCTGCAGGAGTAAATATGACTAAATCATTCTGAGGTACTGATCAATCCAGCTCAGCATATCCGGTTTAAGAAAGAAAGAACTCTCCGGTGGAAGTGTTTCCATCAGAATGTTTACCAAGGCACGTAACTGTTTGATTACCTACTTTATTGGACTTTGCCCATTGTCCGGTAAACCCTCCGCTGGAAACACTAGCCCATTGATTCACGCCAAAATGACTACAGTTGTTTGCTGATGGCGATAAACAAATGAAACCGATGAGAGGAAAGGGTAGAGGAGGAACAGAGCTGTCAGCCATGCCGAGATAACATCTGGTTAGATCAGCTCATGGGTTTCAGCGCAATTTTGGTCACTCAAACATACACAGGTCATAAATTGTGACCAAAACAAAGGCGGTGGGGTTAATAATCTCATGCGTTTCAGAGAATGGTTCAACTCAGCGTTTTGACTTACGTATTGTGGGAAAAGCATGCCATTCTGTTTATCCCGTCGCACGAGAATGGTTACACAATGCAACAAACCCAATTAGAGGGCATACAACACAATAACATCTCACATTGTGAGCTCACACAAACACATTGTAAACATAGACAAGACAGAATACATTCCAGCTGATTTTGAGAGTTGATTACAGCTCTGTTCCAAATGCTAGTGTGCTGCCTACCTACAGTAGGCAACATTTTTAGGACAGCAGGCAGCAAAAACATGTTGCCTAATAAAATACCTCATTTTGGTCAAAATAAAAGCAGAATCACATATATACAACCCCAGTGAAATAAGAATAAAACAAATTTACTTATAACTTAAATATAATGATATAAAAATATTGTATTAGTAAATAAATAAATTAAAATTGGTGTTGGGCAGAATTTAAGGATATAATTATAGTAATAAATAATTATTGAGTCCTCAAAAGTATTGCTAGAACATCGCATACATAATTTTGAGCATAAGACAATCCCATTATACACTGATAATAATAACAATAATAATAATAACAAATTAATAAATATAACATTTAATTATAACTTAAATATAATAAATTATCTTTTATATTTTATTAAATGTAAATTAAATAAAAAAAAAGTAAATTAACTTTTTTTTTTTAAATGAACAGAATTGAGGGAAATGTTGATAATTGTTCAGTCCTGAAATGCATCTCTAGAAAATAGTTCTAATTAAATGTACTATTTAATATAATATTTGTGTAAAGTATCAAGTTGTTAGCTTAGCCACATGCTAACTTCAAAGTATAATGGAATCAAGTTCTAATTTGGAAAAGTGCAACAGAACGCCATTTGAAACTGTACTCCAACTCAGAAATTGTCAAACTACGTGGAAATGTGACGGTAGGATGTCACGAGGGCATATCAGCACGGTTAATGATAAACACAGATAAAGAAGTAAATTAAATGCATCAGTGACTCAAATTTCCAACATAACATGATAATAAAGCAGGTTAAACAAATATTTGCAGAGACAGGAGTGTAAAACACGGTAAACTATCCTCTCTATTTATAACTGTACACATACAAAACAACTGTAAGCATTTTGCTAGCCATTTGTGTCTGTACACATCATCCAAGCATCGGAATGCTTCTTTGGTCACATGAAATTGAGTTTTTAGTATTGTACATCCTTTCAATTCAGTCACTTCTAATGCTGTCATAGAAGGTAGCTGCCCATCTAGACAGCGAGGCAGCTCATTAGGGTTTGGAACAGAGCCTGCGTTTCAGAATCAGTGGAGGAACTCCAGCTATTTTCTGTCTATTGGTTTATGACAGGTGTTTCTAGCACAAGTCTTGTTTCATTTGAGTCAGCGAAAGCACATATTGTTGTCCTCACCATGGTGGCAGGGTTCCATGTTGTGGTCGGAGCCATCTTTGGTTGCCAGTTGGTTCCTCCAGTCAACTTCTTTTCACCAGGATGACTCCAGTGAATGTCACTGAGGAGTAACAGAAGGAACAATTATGATCAAGTCGCTGAGTTTGAAGAGAACTATGAATCAGGACTGAGATGAGCAGCAAATGTTCATACTTATTTGCGGTTCCATTTCCAATACCGAGATCTGGAAGAATAAAAAAATAAAAAATAAAAAAAACTGGTGAGGAATATGCCAGCCATTGTGAAATGTTAAATTCACTTCAGACCCTAAATCAATAAATAAAACAAAAGTTGCTGTTCATGATTACTAGTACCTAAATACAGAGTAGGGCTGCACAATTTGGAAAAATAAAATGTTTTCAACAAAAAAGTCCGACTGTGATTGTGGAAAAACAACAAAAAAAAAACCTCAAACATTTTGTGAATATCAATATGACTGTAAAATAGCATTATTATTTTAAATTGAATTTATATGTATATGTATATGTATATATATATATACACACACACACATTGTATATTACAATGAAATATTACAATAGTGATATTTCTTTAATATTTTTGTATTTAATACTAGCAACATTATTATTGCTAAATACAATACTAAATACAATTACTACAGAACTATTACTAAAACAGCCAATTTATAAGCACTTCTCATTTTAAATTTGTATAATTAATTATGCAGCCCTAATACAGAGGGTCGTTTGTAAGAACAAGAACAGTACACTTACTGCCCACAAGATTGGCAAGGGAGGAATCCAAGTCATCGGAAACCAGTTTGCCTGGCTGTTGGGCACTCAGGCCCTGGTTGGGAGAGGCCACTGTGGGTTTCAGGATGCCACCTAAAATATCATCTTAAACAAACAGAGGAGAGGGAATGGGAGAGGGATGAAAGACGCAGACAACACACACAAACAGAAAAAGCACAATTAGGTTGGGTGGAGCGAGAGGCAGCTGCCCTCAGAGCAAACGTTGCAGGACCGAAAGTGAATGAATGTGAGTAAAATCTTGTCAAGTCAACTCACCCAGACATGCAGTGTCATGCAAAGCCAGCGGCCCAAATAGATCAAACCACACAGTGAGAGGAGAGAAAGAGGACAAAATGAGGAACATCTCAAAACATGACTGCGCAAATGATGGTGATCATATCTTACGTGACATGGGCTCACATTTAAAAAATGCTTACAAATTCAAGTCAAACTTCTGTAATGTACTATATTTACAAGAAAAAAGGATATATTTTTTAACAACAACAAAAAATGTTTAATGTTATCAATAAGAAAGTCGTTTTAGAGGTGGATTTTTTTCCCCTTTGGAATAACATGAATAAGACCAAGACTGTGTAGTGGGACAGTGAATTTTCAATTTAGCATTTATTTCATAATTGAATTGTGTTGCAAGCTGGATCCAAACCTGGGTCATCCATGGCTCAATGTTTTAGAGCGCTAACACTTATGCCAAATCTCCAACATAAGATAATGGGTTTAAATCAAAACTAAGACCCAATGAAACCAAGATTAAAGCAAATGAATGCTTCAAGGTTGTTTTATGAGAAGCCTGAGGTGTGATTTGTGTTTAAAAAAGTTCCAAACATGCAGTATTGAAAACATGACACAAAAGAGATCGAGTCTTTAAACACATGATCCCTTTTCTTATGAAAATACCACAGCAAACTTCTAGAATGAAAAGTGGCAGTATAACCGTTTTCACATGCTAGTTCCACTCTGTCAGCTTAAGCATGGTCCATTGCATTGACCTTCAGCAGTGAGATGGATGTGAAGCATCACATGTGGAAAAAAGCATTGAGTGAGTCACAGCAACTGGGTTAACTTCTCTCTTACCAGCAGAGTCTGTGCTGTTGGTGGCCGACTTATTGCCGAACACGGAGTCAAAGTCGACATTAAGGCCTGTCGAACTGGGAGGCTGGGCGGCGGGAGGTGCAGAGAACCCTGTGTAAAAGGAAATAAGGTCAGACCTAAAAAAACACCACAGGCTGGTTCACCTACAACTTTTTGAGGGCTGGAAGAATGCCAGAGAACAGCAATTTCAAAACAGTGGTTAATGTTTTCTTCCAGCTCACGTGATGCATAATTGCCATCATTCATTTAAGTGGATCGATTCCGTTATAGTCTATAGACTTCCAAAAATGTCAGCTGTTTGACTGGGTTAGCCCACGGCAACTGACTCGTACTTCCCACAACATGTTTGCAGTTACAAAACCACATTTCATTCCTCTTCATCAATATACCAATAGTTTCATCTAGAATACTAGAATGAGCCATTTGAGGTAAAAAAAGAAAGAAAAGGGGTCAATTATATATAGAGTTATATTGATTTATATATTTCCATTAAATTAAATAGTTACATGATATGCAGACTGATTAATCAAATTAAATATTTCATATTAATATTTCCTTGGAGTGTTATTAACAAACTATTACAAATAATTTTTGTTAATTGAAATAAATAAAATAGAAACATTAGATGAAAAGCTTAAACTATAAAAATGTTAGAAATTAACCTTGTCAACTAAAAGTTTAGTTGAAAAAGCTGAAGTTCTAAAAATCATTAAAAGTGAAATAAAAATAAATCAGTTTAACAGAAATAAAAAACAAAATAAAAAAAAAAGACAAAAGCACATACAATTCCTAAAGCCTTGAGTAAAATTAGAATGAAGACTGAAAAAATTAATATACACTATAAAGAGTATAAAAATACTAAAATAGTATTTTACATGGTATAAAATACCTTGAAGGTGACATGAACATGATAAAAAAGACAACAATACATATATAGTTAGATATTTGAAATTTACATATGATTATACTGATTGTAAAGTTTCAAATTATAAAGTTTCATAATTAATTGTGCTGGGGGGTAAATCGTGGCCTAATGGTTAGAGAGTCGGACTCGTAACCCAAAGGTTGCGAGTTCGAGTCTCAGGTCCGGCAGGAATTGTAGGTGGGGGGAGTGAATGTACAGCGCTCTCTCCCACCTTCAATACCACGACTGAGGTGCCCTTGAGCAAGGCACCGAACCCCCAACTGCTCCCCGGGCGCTGCAGCATAAATGGCTGCCCACTGCTCCGGGTGCGTGTTCACGGTGTGTGTGTGTTCACTGCTGTGTGTGTGCACTTTGGATGGGTTAAACGCAGAGCACTAATTCCTAGTATGAGTAACCATACTTGGCCACATGTCACTTCCCTTTTTAAAAAAAAGTAAATTATTAAATTGACAACCCAATTTAAAAAATAAATAAATAAATAACAATAAATGCTGAAAACACAGATTGCAAACTTGAACTGGAAGCTGAATGTCTGAATTGACTGAATTGATAAACCTGTTCAGTTCAGTCCTGTGCGAAAGGAAAGAAAAGACCAGACACAGCTGAAGAATGCAGAAAGAGAGAGAGACAAGCTGGAGGGATGGCACCTACCTCCGAATAGTCCAGCTACAGCGGAGGGCTCAGAGTGGAAGAGAGGAGTGTTAGGGTAGGCAGCTGGAGAGCAGAACGAGTCTGACAGGCCCAGAACAAAAGCACAGGAGAACCAGAAATGGGAAAATTAGTGAAGAGATACAAAATTTATAAAAAAATAATAAGCAGAGGGATAATAAAGCATGCATACTCTATATTCAAATCAAAAGGGTGGAATTAAAACTAATTAAGTAAAATAATAAAGGTACTAAGAGTAATTTGGGGTAAAAAGCACTCAGAGGGGAAACCACGGGGTAACGGCATTATGTTTCCCGAGCTCAGAAAACATACATCACACTGGGACGTCTGTACCTGAGAGGAAGCAGCCCATCCGAGCAGAGGGCTCGACGGGTGATGCAACAGGACAGCTTGAATCAATAAAGGGATTGTAATTATCTGGAGAACCAAGAAATTAAATTGACATTTGGGAAAAACATTAAAACTTAACACTCTAAGGATGGGAAAAATTAAAAAGGGTAAAAGAAAAATCCAAGGAAGGCAGCAAAGCACAACCAAGCAAGTTTTTGAGTAAGGTGGTCCAGAGACCATCGTACAGACCTTCAGAAAACCACCAAAAAGCAATTAATTGAGGTTCAGTGTAGGCAAAAAGGACCACCAAACTCAAATAAGGTACAAGTATTTTTAAGCAGTTAATTTGTACTTGATAACAGCCATTCTCACTCTTGATCACATGTATTCATATTAGACCAGCATCATAAAAGCCAACTAACCATAATACAGCTGTAAAAACAAACACTCTTTACAGTAGCAACAAACCATCTGTCTGTCACTCTCTCAAATATGTTATTGTTCGCTCTGAGAACATAATAAATAAAGTCCCTAGTGTAGAACAAACTCACAGAAGCTAGACTTCCTTTATTGCTTTTACACAATCATAGAAAGGCACACATTCACAAACACACACACAGTGTTTCAAAACCTAGGCTGTGTTCAGAATAGCATACTACCATACTTCTTTTACAATTTCTGCCATTTATATTGCATAGTATGACAATTTTGAGGATCACTGTATCCCACAATGCAGTGTGCTCGACCTGACTTTGTGTTTCCAATGTGACAAAAGAACAGGAAGTAACAATTTTTGGTGAAACTGCCACGATATTTTATTTTATTCTAGACTCACGATTAGATTTGTGTGTGTTTATTTGTTTAGTTATTTCAATTACAGGTACCTTTTTTTTCTCTATTTTTATTTCCAATAATCAAAAAGCAGGTCAGATTCAAAAATGCATGCACTTTATCTTAAAGCATGTAATAAAATCTGTTTAGCTTAGGGACCAATTCTCACTATCAACTAGTTGTTTATTAGCATGCATATTACTAGCATTTTGGCTGTTTATTAGTACTTATAAAGCACATATTAATGCCTTATTCTGCATGACCATATTCTAGATCCCTTAATCCTACCTAAATTTAACAACCACCTTACTAACTATCAATAAGCAGCAAATTACGAGTTTGAGGGAAAAATTGGAGTTAATAGTGAGAATTGATCACCAAACTAAAGTGTGACCAAAATCTTGAAGCACGGTAACATTGTAATGTTACTAGATATTAATATATAGTGACACTGTATATAAACATAGAATAATTCTGTATAAAATAGTTTATGCTGTATAACAAACACTTTCAAATGCTACAAAATTAGTATGTAAAGCTTTATTAATTTAATTTAACTATTTATTTATTTTTTAATATAGGTATTATTTAGTCTATACTGTGCATTCTTCAGTAGGCTAGTATTCTATTTTCAGTTGCCTATGCAGTCAGCATTTTTGGGCATCACCAGTGCGTTTGAGCTTTTGAGTTAGACACTGGCAAAAACACGGTCTAGGTAGGCAGCTTGCTAGGTTTTGAGTACACAGCCAGTATGAACTTGAGACACGTATCAGATACTTTAAGGGTTATTAAGGTCAGGCTGGAACTGCCCAGCGGGTCTTTGTACACTTGATGCGGTGGAGCATTCAGAACAAAAATAAGAGTGGAGGGAAAACAGATCGGCACGCAGCAGGCGAAAGAAAGCAAACAGTGCACTACATGAGAGAAAAGAACAGCCGTTTACCACCAAACATTTCATGACTGGGTGTCCTAGAGGAAAAACTAACAGCATCTGAAGACACAACAGGCAGATGGACAGGATCAACAACTGGTTTTGTAAGGAAAGGATTTAAGTTTGGAATGGAGCCGTCAACAGCCTCTGTAGACGTGAAAGGATCTACACGGTCAAAGACAAGACAGAAACACAAAATAACAGGAAAAGGTTAGAGAGAGAGAAAGCATGCAAACACAGACTAACAGACAAATGAGGTGAAGTCTGTTTGGTCTAGACTCTAGACGCTTTCAGATGTAAATAAACTACCAGACTGAATGAGACATCCAACATGCGATGTAATGAATATGTAACATAACTCACACGTCTAAGCTAAATGGATAGGAATGATTCTTTGAATCATGAGAATCATTTGAATCAGTAGAACTTCAGTTTGATATGAAGCTTTGAAGTTGTACTAAAATCTAAAATATATAAACATTTAATATTTTATAAATATTTAATAAATAAATAAATGTTATTAGTGTTATTAGCAAGCTTTAAAGCAAATAAAATATATACACAAAATATCATATATGAGCGCTATTACTAATTGCTTTAATTGTACAACTTTGAAAAAAAATACTAGCTGTGCCAAAGGTTCAGTAACCATTAACCTGATTTAAAGACATTAAAAAAAAGAAAAAAAAGATAAACATGCAATATTTTAAAATATTATTTAAATACAACTTTAAAGCTACAATTCAGATTTTATCTACTGAAATATTTAAATAAAAAAAAAGAAAAAGAGGTTTCATTTGATGCCATGTTGTCTTAAAATAAATTTTCCCCAAATCCTATGTGAAGTTCAAAAACATCTCAGTAGACCTCTGCTGGCTATCATTTTCACTATGAACATGTTAAATTAATTTTAAAGGATTAGTTCACCCAAAAATCAATTCCGTCATCATTTACTCACACATGCTGTTCCAAGACTTGGAATATATTCCACAAGTCAAAATGATCACTTTTACGAGACGTTTTTGGATCAGTTTGGAGTATGACAGCCAGTATGACAGTTTTCATTTACTTGTGTGGCAAAATTTCACATTTTGTGTTCCACGGAAGAATGAAACTCATACAGGTTTGGAACGACATAAGGATTAATAAATGATTACAGAATTATCATGTTTAGATTCCTTTAAAAGTCAGAGAACATGACAGCAGAGGTGTTGGACAGTATATAGCATACATAAATCTCCAAAGAGCTTCAAGATAATACATCTGTGAAGGTTGCTGAGTGTTTTATACACAGTATAATCCAATAAACACTGAAAGCTGCAGGCTTTTTATGGTTCTGCCTGACTAATATCAGAAACCAATATGATATCAGTTCTGCCACATTAAATATTATTATGTTACACACCCTATCAGCACTTTTGGATAAAAATTAGACTCATGTATCAGACTTTACAGATTAGATGTTATTCAGACAAATAAGGCGCGTGCAACAAGAACATGCTTTCTTTAGGCGATAGCATCGCGGACAAAAGCAATGAATGTTCCCTCTTGAATTAAGTTTTGATTACAGCAGAGAAGACAGTGTTGATGTAAGCTTGATTTCTCTGAGATGCATATTAATGCAGATTTGTGAGTTCCTGTGGTGTGGACCGCTCACCTCCCCATGTGTTGGCTAAAGGCAGGCCGGTGGAGAGAGGCAGGGAGGGCTGGAACGTGGGCTGCAGGTCCAACAGATCGTTCGGCACCTTCAGAGTACTGGAGCCAGACACGCACCAAGACAAACACAGACACACACAGGAACTGCATTAATGTCTTCCATAAACGGCAGTCTAAGGGCCAAGCATTTCACAGTTATATGGCAAAGACAAACTTGGCACGTTGATTTGAAGTGCTTAAAGTGGAGACTTAGGGAGTTGAGGGGAAATTCACATGCAATCAATACCTTCTTCACAGCCAAATCCTGTCCGGGCAGGAATTCACACACTTACAGTGTAAACAAGAGAACCGGAGCCTGACTTTATACTGATTTTTTTTTTTAAATACACAAAGAAGCACAGTTTCAGGACAGCAGAGGTTAATCTGATTTGAACAAACCCTTAACCACAAGTATAACAGTAATAATGATGCTCGCCTTAGCAAGCACCATTAATAACTTATGCCTCCATTACTCCTTGAATGACATCATCATTAAAAGCACATACGCCTGTAACGTAATCGCTGAGCTTAACTTGCTGTCATTGTGTAGTCCTGCATAGAGCCCTAATAAAACACTAAAAGCTGAAGATGCCAAACGATTGCACATGTGCACTTATGCACCAACTGGGAAAATAATCACTACCAGCCGTGTATCATCAGAACATAAAGACTGCAGCATCAATCATCAAATATAGAGCAATTAGTTCTGCCCACACAACCTGACTGGCTGAAAAGCATTTAAACTTTGCAGTCATTTATAATCAGCATAAAATGGCATTTACAATATATGAATATATTTTATAAAAATATAAATCTTACACATTTTAATAACATGATTTGTATGTACAAAAGTTTTCTGTAATACATGTGTGGCTTTTAAAACTATAGAATACAACCAAACACAAATTGCTGAGGGCGAAACTACGGTAATGCAGGACTGTCAGTCAGCGGCCGTTGGTGGGGCCTAAACTATGTGATGTCACATTGCTCAGAGAACCAGAACGGCTTGTCTATAGAGACTGATTTGGTTTAATCAGGAGTGGTTGGATTTTTATCATTGTAGGGTGGTTGTGTTCACACACTTCCAACACATATTTATGTCTAATCACCATGTAAAAGTGGATTTTGCATAATAGGTGCCCTTTAATGTGTCTTTGATGAATGAGAATATGATTTTTTTTCAAAAACAAAACTCAAAACTTTTGAACAGTACATCTAAAAAAGCTATTACCTGTTAGTGAAGCTACTGGGTGTGGAGAACAGGTCGATGGCAGGGGCAGAACTGATGGTGCCCGTCGCCGTGGAAATGGGAGATGCAGCAGTCGTGGAGGGCTTCTTGGACAGTTCCTTCAGGCGCTGCTCCTGATGGAAGAATCAAACCGTGTAACCTTGCTAATTGGGTATGCTCCAATAGGGAAAAACTCCTTTCCACTTTTTCATAGATGGTGTTGCATACCTTAAGTGCTTTTAATCGAGCCTGCTCCTCCTCCAGAGCTGCCTGCTTTTCCCTCTCAACAACTGTGGTGAAAGAGATACCCGTGTTGGCCAGGGAGGACACCGCATTGGACAGCGCACTGGCTCTGTGTGGAAAGACAGGGGGATATGGAGATAGAATGGTTGCATAATTCCAAATAAATAGCTTATGATCCACAAATAAATGTAAAGAGATAGATTTAGAGTTTCACAAACATGACTTTAATTCACAAATAAATAAAATAATATCTGCAAATAAATTTTTTTTTTAAATGTGTGCGTATATGTATATATACAGTATATAAAAAAAAAATTTTTTCCCCACAAACACAACTTTGCCTGGCATTCATTTGTAAATCGCGTCCTGTACATTTGTGGATCGCTGTGCACATTTGTCGATTTGAACGATTAGTCAATGAAGTGTGGCTGTTATCTGAGTGGCCCGAGTAGACGGTGGGTGGAGTCCATGCATTTATGGATTGTCAGCGTTTTGACGCTAGATGTGTTTCAAAATCCACAAATGCATGCAGCGATCCACAAATGCATAGAAAGAAATGCATTCACAAATGTACAGGGAGCGATTCACTAATGCGTGCAGCGATCTACAAATGTACAGGACGCGATTCACAAATGAATGCCAGGCAAAGTTGTGTTTGTGACAAAGATATTTGTGAATACGTTCTTTATTTGCAAATCTCAATTTTATTTATTTGTGAATTTAATTCATGTTTGTGAAACTCTAAGATTTATTTGTGGATCTCATTCTATTCATTTGTCAATGTTTAATTTTTGTTAATCTCCTTACATTTATTTGTGGGTCATAATCTCCTTATTGGGAATTATGCAACAATTCTATCTCCATAGGCAGAGGACCTGATCCATTCGGACCATGCGATGTCACAGTGCGTTATTACCGCCATGTTTGTGTCCGAGTCACAGCTGCGCAACCGGTTTCAGTCATTGGTCACAGCAGCCACAACTACCAGAGGAAGATCAACGAAATACTCCCGGAAGGTTCCCAACAAGGTTACAATATGGTCGGGATATGTTGTGCTGTTAGCTGTATAACAGCCGTCAGAGAAATTCCAAACTACAATTTTATTTGACCCCAAAGGAGTTAGATTGGCGGAATAAATGGTTGGCTTCAATCAGAAGGGACCACTGACAGCTAGGGTTGCCAACTTCAGAAAAGGAAAATATGGGACAGTTGTGATTCTTTATAGGAGAATAAGGGACAGAATAAAGGACACTAAAATATTACCTGGTAAATATTACCACATACTGTATGTCATGTCTACAGTTATTTATACATAAAAGGTGTATAAAAGGTTCTCAAAAATAATCCCATTTGTTTTGCTTAACCTATTTATGTGCAATTATTCTAAAAAGAATTTTAAAGTCATACAAAAAAAAAAAAAGTCACACGACCTGAGTAAATTGTACCATTGTGAATTGTTACTGGCTGTACAAGTGGTGTAGTAATTTAGGAGGTGGATATACTGTGAAATTACTTGGCCTACATACATATATATGGCATAAAATTTGAAAGCATAACAACTGAAAGTCTGAAACGTCAGTCAGTAAAGCATTTTTAAAACAATTTGAACTAAAACATTATTGCAGCCATATAGCCTATGAATGAATGAAAATGCATGTTTTAATTAAAGAGAACTTAAGAGTGTGGGCTGATTTTGCTGCTTGAATAATGAGATCCAAGTTTAAGATACTCCGGAAGTAAAAAACGTCTTCCCTAAAGTAGACTGCATGTTTTCTTGTCTTGCTGGATGTTTGGCTCATGATCAATAATCATGTTGTTTGCATTCGCCCAAACTAATCTGCCGAAAACAAAACGCACACAACGCAGAGGATTCTTCAAGCCTTCCTCGAGTGGCTACATTCGCAAATAAAACAATGCTTTGTCCAAAAAGAACGATTAATTATCAATTGTGCTAATGTTAGCAAATTAACATTAAATATAGATTGTGCAGTAAGCTAGCTAACGTTATCTTGTTACACTATCATTGACTCAAAGTGCTTTGAGTTGATGTCAGTTTTAAATGTACAAGTAATCAGCACCTTACATTATTATGACCTAACTGTTACACTTGCTGCACCCATGTTAGTGTCCTAAAAATACAATTAAGTCCAAAGCTCAGTGTGGGAAATGGTAGTAAAAGATCATTTATTATCTTAATATATTATTATTTATTAAATCTCATTTAGATGTGCTGTGTTCGTTGTCATATTGGACACAAAAATGGCGGTGAGCATAGCGGAAGTGACGTCTTCGGTACCCATGAATACAGTAAACACGCCACTGTTGAAATCGCTAGGGTTGCATTAGTGGACATCAATGCTACTAGCATGAGCACAGAGCACATTTTACTGCTTCCGCTACAGGAACCCAGTTTGAACCTGGACTGTCTAAACTGCAAATTATCAAAATCATGTACATTCCTCCTACACTTAGTTTAAACACAGTTCACTGATTATTTTAGAAATATTTGTCACATCAAAATAATAAAATTAAATGACATCACTCATAACCCCTAAAACCACCTGTCCTCAGATCAAAATGTAATACTTCAAGCAGATTAAAATATTAAATCTAAGAAAAACTGAATGACATTACTTTAAAGAAACATGACAGGCCACAAAAAAAAGAAGCATGAAAATGTACACACTGAAATACACACACATTAATCCAAAATAATTTTTGCATACAAACAGCTGTAATGTAACTTTTTTTTTTGTCCCATTGAAAGAATAACTGAGTAATGATTTGATATGAGAATATCAATATCTTGTGAATTTAGTTAAATGTTGGTTTCTAGATGGCAACAGAAATGCTGTTTTCATCATAAAAATCATAGAACATAGCTCAAAATCCCCTTCACTTGGAAAAACTGCACAGAACTTATAGCCGGACAAAAAACTCCCTGAAACGCCTCTCTCCCACACATGCTCAGCACATCCAAAAGTCACACACACTCGCTGAATGCAGAGCATGAGGAAAGCAGCCCCTTCACATACTAGAATGTTCAAAATTAACTGCTTGAAAATCACTGTACCTGCTGGCGGCCGTGGAGTCTTTGACTTTTTTCCCCTCTAATGAAGCCAAATGCTGTTCAAGGGCATCCAGAAGGCTACTGGGGGCCTGGAGGGATGGAAACATTACTTTAGCTTACAGGCTACTACACACGGAAAAACTGCACAGAACTTATAGCCGGACAAAAAACTCCCTGAAACGCCTCTCTCCCACACATGCTCAGCACATCCAAAAGTCACACACACTCGCTGAATGCAGAGCATGAGGAAAGCAGCCCCTTCACATACTAGAATGTTCAAAATTAACTGCTTGAAAATCACTGTACCTGCTGGCGGCCGTGGAGTCTTTGACTTTTTTCCCCTCTAATGAAGCCAAATGCTGCTCAAGGGCATCCAGAAGGCTACTGGGGGCCTGGAGGGATGGAAACATTACTTTAGCTTACAGGCTACTACACACACACACACACACAGTCCACAAATATACACGCGCAACATATATGAGTGACTGATTAAATTAGGGGCACTTTTGACTACTTGGAAAAAAAAAATCAATCTTCTCTGAACTGATTTATCACATTTTATTTTCTTAACATGTATGACACTCAAGGACTTTACTATGAGCAACTTTCCATTGGATTTTGAAATAATATCTTTTGTTGTTGTACATGATGTAATGAGATTGCTATTTTTCGAATTTTGGAGAAAATGTTTAATAAGCCTTGACTTTAAATAAATCAACTTAATTAAAACATTTTTTTTAAATGTTAAATAAATACAGAAATAAACAGACTATTAAAAAAAAACTATTAAATACCAATGAAAAAAAACAAAATGAAAAGAAAAATAAATAAAATTATTAAAAGAAGATAAATAGATAAGAAAAGTTAAAAAGTAAAGTAAAAATGTTGTTGTACATGATGTAATGAGATTGCTATTTTTCGAATTTTGGAGAAAATGTTTAATAAGCCTTGACTTTAAATAAATAAACTTAATTAAAACATTTTTTTTAAATGTTAAATAAATACAGAAATAAACAGATTATTAAAAAAAAACTATTAAATACCAATGAAAAAAAACAAAATGAAAAGAAAAATAAATAAAATTATTAAAAGAAGATAAATAGATAAGAAAAGTTAAAAAGTAAAGTAAAAATATTTATTTATTAACAACTGCATTACAGACTGACTAGTTTGGTACAGACACAAATATTTTGAAATTAATCATCACTTTTCTTTCCATTATAGATAATATTTTAAACTTTTTTGTTTTGTTTTCTAAAATATTTGGCATGATGGTAATGACAATAATATACAATCACTATCACTATTATTTTAAGTAATCAAAAAAATATATATTGTTCACAAATTCTGAACACCCAATTTTTAACACATCAAAAAAAAATTTAATTAAAAACATACTACTACGGACAAAAATGTCCCCTTAATTGAAGAATCACTGCTGTGCATAAACACAGATAGCATGCAAAGTCAGATAGCATGCAAAGATACAAACCAAAGACTCTAAACACAGAGAAAAGAGAGTGAGATGCAGGTACTTACACAAACTGTAAACTGAAAACGGAAAGATAAGGAAAGATACAGAATATAAAGGTGGTAGTTTAACAGAGGTGAGGAGAATTTAAGAAACTGCAGAAACGTTAAGAATAAAAACAAACCCTTAACAAAACGTAACATATAATTGTGTAAAACTATTGCTTTATGTTAATATATATCTTATAAAGAATCTTATCTTATAAAGATCAAGATATATTTAATACATATAAAACTTCTATATACATATAAAATATAAATATAAAGGTTTAAGAAACCAATGAAAACCCCATTTTAATAGAGCACAACTCTGAATTTTGAGGGGAACCTGTACCATCTAATATTATGATGATTCTGGTCTACAGCAATCATGTTCTTGTTAACACGGTCTCCTTAACACACAAACAAGTAAAAAGCTAGTTGTTGAAAAGAAAAAGAAAACAAATAAAATCAGACTTAAACCAAGACCCGATTCGGTCTCAAACCTGTAAGCTGCCCACAGCATCACACCTTTATGTGCTGTATGAATCAAACATTAAGGACAAGTGTTGTTAGAATAGTTTCCTCCACCAGTGTCATGCAGAGATATCCGCATGCACCGAGCACTGCAGGCCTGCGGTTTGCAGCCGCACTGCACAAGCAAATTAGTTGCAGTTCTAGAACTCTCTGATGACTTTTCCTATAACTCAAGTATTGATATTTCTAGGTAACTGCAGGTTAGAGAGTTCTACAACTTGCACTTGTTTGGATCTAATGTAGCCGTGTCAAATTTGGCTGTGGAGCTCAAGCCGTGTCTTGCAAAATAAGAGCAGAGTGACAAATAAGTAGCTGATAGGCAGAAGGGAAAGCAGTCAGTGTAAGCTTTTCCTCAAAACCAAGGCCAATATATTTGTTTCCTCACCTGTGATAAGTCTGGTATGTCCCCTCGGTCGATTCCCACTTGCTGTAATGAGCAGAAAAGAGCTGGTTAATGCGTGTCTCCTTTGTATTGGCTCATTATATAATCAAGGAGCCCCATAGTGAAGGTTATGCCGTCTTACCTCTGCCACTTTGAGAAACTCTGAGATTCTCGTCATTCGAGTGAGGAATTTCTTATAGATGTCCAGGCCTTCTTTACACTGGGCTTTCTTCATGTCAAAGTACTTCTCTGCAGATGGGAAAGGGTATGAAGTCAGATTTTTAGATAGCTTTGCATTCCCACCACATTTTAAGGGGGCTTGCTTTTCACGCTGCGACTTCACCAGGGCGAGTTATGCTTGGCATCTGTCGCCACAACATGACCCAAAGCAACTCTCACTAGTATGTCGGCCTCTCACAGAAACTCTCATCCAACATGTAACCACTGAACGAAGCCAACAGATGCAGCTCAGCCCCTGAATTGAGCCATCCAACACAAACACTCCAAGCAAAACCATTTGATTTAGTAAAAATATCATATTGCAATTGTTTAACAAATACTGCGGTAGCATTTTAAACTGCGATCTGATAATCCCATATTGCTGCTCCTTAGATATCATAGATAAAAGTAAGAAGGAATAAAATCACAATGAAAAAGCCTATCTTCAATACTGACTATAAAGCAATGTTTTTTGGCTTTGAATTAAGTCTGAATGGAACCGAACTCAAGCAGAGGCAAATGTGAATGGGGTAAAAAAGGACCCAGATCTCTTTGCATTCACATTGTAGTTGAACTTAAAAGTGGACTCGGATCTCTTTTTGAAACCTCAGTTGTTTCAGTCCATTTTTATTCCTAAATTACTGTTTTGAACCTAGTCTACTGAAGTATAATATTATAATGAATAAACATCTAATAATAATGAAATATATATATACTAAATTATGTATAAAATAAACATAACAACAATAATATTAATAATATTAACAATTTACTATTAATAAAATATGTATTTCTACTTTTTTATTCAATAGTTTAAAGTAAAAAAAAAAACAGCTTTTTTAACCAAGTTTAATCAAGTTCTCTAGCTAATCATCACTTCAAGTTGAAATTTGCTCAGTGTATTTCCAATTTTACTGCCCTAAACCATGACACTGTGCTTACTTGGCCCAAAAAATTAATTCTGAGACTACTGATATGTACAGGAAGGGTTTGTTTTATGCATTACAGCTCTCAGGCAGTAAATAAGCTGTCATAAAACTGAGTGACGAGTCAGGTCAGAGTCCTATTCAACTGTCGATGAGTGGGTTGATACTTTAAGTTCAAAGGTCTCTGCAACAGGAACCAATAAGAGGAGATGGTAAAAGCCAATGTGTAAGGCAGCCCACATTAGGTTTCGAAAGATCAAGCAGAATAACAGCTCACCAAGCAAGTTGATGATCCCTTCATTGTAGGCTGCAAACAGACGGATGGCGTCTTTAAACAGAAGCATGAATGCAGCATTAATGACCCCGTTTGTGAGCTCGTTGGCATTTACCTGCCGACACAAAATAAGCCAAATTCAATTTGGTTTGAGACGATTATGCTGCAAGAACAGAAAACCAATGCAATTACGAAAAAACTCAAGGAAAAGACCATTGAAGAAAGGTCTAGCCATTAGAGCATATGGAACTTAAATAAGTCTAGCTGTTGTCATCATAAACTCACATTGAAGTCGAGGAGTGCATCCATCTGGTTTTGGATGATAGGGATGGTCTTTAGGAGCTTCTCTGTGTTCATAGCTCTCATTACGCCATCCGCCCTTTGACAACAAAACAGACAACCACTTCAATGAAGAGTTCTCATTTTTGGGTGAACTATCTATTTAGAAAACTTACCCTCTTTTTACTTTTGTGAAGTCGAAAGCCACTTGTCTGTATGAGACTGCCTTTTCGTTCAGGTAGCGGCTGTACCTCCGGATGAAGGTGGACATGTCATATCCTGCATGCAAAAGAGAACATGCTGTCTTTTGAGTTCACAGTGACCCTCGTGTTGTTGAACTTAGTCATGCAGCACTTTCTATTATTGTGTTCTGATTCTAGACTATTTAAAAATATGAGTCCTTGATGTACTAGTTAAAATCTGAGCACAATGATTGTGACTCATTTTAAATGCTCAGAGAGAAAAAAACATTCCGGTTTCCACAGGGTTAGTACGATGCATGATGCAGCCTAGAACCCATCAGCTTTATCTGACTCTGCCAAGTATGACAGGTCATTGTGAAGTGTACTAGTCTATGACGCTAGTCATATGCTCCGATGCTAGCATACTAAAGGCAAAAGATACGACAGATTTATTTCTGTCACACAATTTCATCTTTAGTAATCAAAAATACCGGTACTACGAGGGTTTGATTCATTCCTGTGAATCAATTTGTTCAAACTGTCTGTCTGTCTTCAAAACAGTGATTCAATAATTCAATGCATCACTCAAAAATCTCCATGGAAGTCCCTGTATGGCATTTTATATATATATATATATATATATACAGTATATATATATATAGAGATATAGATAGATAGATAGATATATAGAGAGAGAGAGAGAGAGAGAGAGATAGTTATTGTTTACTGCCCAGCTATATTATATATGGGTTATATTGCAAAAGTAGGATAAAATTGAAGTACTGCAAGGTGCCTCAGGAAGAAAATCCGAGCCAGGAAGTTCTAGTCACTTTCAGAAAATGGGCCCAGAGTTCTTCTTGAAAGACTCTCCAAACTAGAGTCTCACTGTGCTGATTCCCCTGCTGCCTCTTTTGAGTGCTGGCTGCCAGGCAGCTTGTTAACATGGGAAAAGCCTTGGGTAAATAAACCCACTAGTGCTTTATTTAAGCTGAAAGTCGGCCATGTTGCCGAACAGGTCCCAAAAGGGAGTTCAGGGAGAATATTAGACAGACAGACAGACAGAAAGAGTGAGACAGGACCTAATGCTTCTACTTCCCAAACCTTACAACACCACATCTGACCATGATTAACATTAAAATGATAAAACTGTGAAAACACAGTGCATGTTCTGTCAGCTCCTCAAATATTCATCATGTCTGCATTTGCCTTAGGTTTGGACGCTCATGAAAATGGATGACACAGCTGGGATGTGTTTGGAAAAACAGAATGACTAATGAAGTGTCGGGCTGAAAGCACCTACCTTGTAACCCGCTTTTGTCCAAAAAATTACTGAGGTTGAATAATGTGTTCCTGGAGGCTAGATATTGTACAAATCTCTGTCAACATGAAGAACAAAGAGTTCGGGTTTCAATTTATTCTGAAGTTAGTCACCATGCAAATAAACAGTACTGTCAAAGCCACAAGGGTAATATTGATTTACTGTGGCATATGTGCGGGTTTAACTGTTTTAGCTTAACCAAAACCATGATTAAACACTGCTGAAAATACCAACAGCTAAAGGATTCGTGTTTTTTTTTTTTTTTTTAATTTGGTTATTTACTCATGCTTATTTAATTTCAAACTTGACTTACTTTCTTCCATGAAAACAAAAGGTGAATCTTGGCCAATCTTTTCAGTAAAATAAAAAAGAATGGTGAATAAGGTTGTAAACCTTTATATAAAAAAATAAAAATAAAAAATAAAAACTTAAGAGTATTGCCACTTTAAAACTCAATGCCCCCAGGATTGATGGAGTAAAATAAAACGTAACTAAAATCGATTGAAATAAAAGTTAAAACAGTGGTCAGCATATTCTTAAATTAAACTAAAATGAGTAAAATAAAATGCAAATAAAATAAAAAGCAAATTAAACAATTAAAATAAAAATAAAAATGTATAAAAGTGGCCAGGATATTTTCAAAAAATAATGTACAATAAGATGTAAAACAAAAAATAAAAAAATACAATAAATAAAAAATTTAATTATTATAATTTTTTTTTTTAAAGTACAAAAAACTATTTTGAGAGTTTGGAATGACAAGATTTTTTAATTTTGGGGTGAACTATTCCTGAGTTCAGTCTGTATGCATTTCATCAGGCTATAGAGCTCAGGCTGAAGGTGATGAATGTGTACAAGAGTGTGTGTGTGTATGAGGGGAAGCTGACCTCGTTGCCGTAGACCATAATTTGGTGTGTGGTGATGAGGGATTTGAACACGACCACCCAGCTGGTGTTGGTGGTGCGCTCGAACAGCGTGTCGGCCAGCTGAGGAATGTTCACATTCATCTCGTTGGTGCACTGGATCAGATCTGGTGAGAGAGAGTTGAAGGAGGTCAGTGTGTTTATAATTCAAACTTGTCAGCACGTCACAGCCTTTGTATTTGGGCCCTAAATAACTTAAACAGTTTTGGTACGTTAACATATGTTTGAACCCTTACATTCCAGATTTCCTTAAAAGGCTGTCCTAACTAGTGGTCATCTGATGAGTTCTCCAGTGACAGATGATGGTACTGATATAAAGAGAACATGGTAGTCAATGGTTGACATACAATACCATTCTAAAGTTTGGGGTCAGTATGATTTAAAAAAAAAAAAGAAATATCACAAAAGATTCCCATTTCATATAAATAATGCTCTTTTGAACTATTCATCAAAGAATCTTGAAATGTATGCATCATGGTTTTCAGAAAAATATTAAGCAGCACAACTGTTTTCAACACTTAAGCAGCAGATCAGCATATCAGAATGATTTCTGAAGGACCATGTGACACTGAAGAATGGAGAATGATGCTTGCTGAAAATTCAGCTTTGCCATCAAAGGAATAAATTACATTTTAAAATTTATTAAAACAGAAAATTGAAATAAAAAATTACATTACTACATTTTTACCGTATATTTGATCAAATAAAGGTTACATTACTGATCATAAGAGACTTTTCAGCAAGTTCGAAAAACAAATCTTTTGAACAGTAGTGTACATGGCAGCAAATAGATGTACTCTGTATGTAGGGGCCCTATGAAATCAGTTTTATGTTTTTCGCAAATTCAGTTTTTTTTCTTTTTTTCAAATTCCATTTTTTCTATTTTGATTTTTCTGGATTCTGTTTTTATTTTATTTTATCAAAAAGCATGTCTAATTAATTGAAATTATAAAACTTACACAATTTAACAGCAATTTATTAAAAGTTGAAAACTAAATTTAAGGCCCTATGAAATATGTTTTTTTTCTCAAATTCAATTGAATTTTCACCAAATTCTGTGTTTTCCATTAATTTCCTGGATTCCATTCCATTTTAATGATCAAAAGCATCTATAATTTATTTATTTTATAAATATTTACATTTTTCTGCTAAATAAATTCAGGTAAATTTTTGTTCTGGTAAATATTCTTTCAAAAATAATGCTTTAACAAATGTATTAGTAGTAGTAGCAGTACTATCATTACATTAATTAATATTTTCTGTCACAGTTTCAAGTTAAGTTAAAACTTATTTTGACGGGTTGCTGTGAAGACCTTTTAAGGTTCTGTTTTTATGTGATATGACGATAGTTTTTCTAAAAAGAAATGGTGAAATGCTCATAAAATGACTCTCAGAGCAGTTCTAGAGTTTATATTAATGTTTTCATGTGTTCATACTGAGGCAGCAGAGGCTGAAAACACTGGGAGCGTCACGCACACTTCAGTATGTGTGTAGTAAACACTCGGAACATTAAAGGTGGGGTATGTATTTTTTTCAAAAACACTTTAGAAAACAGTCAGGCAGAGTACCAAAACAAACTTGTAGCCAATCAGCAGTAAGGGGCGTGTCTACTCACAGGACAGACATTAACCGAGCAACAGAAAGATAGAGATAGCGGATAAAAAAAAACAAAGCCATATTTATGCTGTTATATTTATGTACTTTAATTTTTTTCTCTCTCTTTTTCTTCTTACAGATTGGTGCTGAGTTTATGCGCCTGGTTTCTACTGATCTCCAGCAGTCTTTCTTTGATGGACTTGACAAATATGTCCCAAGACTGTTACAGATGTACAGAGTGCGAACTAGTAGCAGTTCTGACCTGCGCAGTCTCCTTGAACCCCTTGATGCACAAGTAAGGATGATTTTATTTTGTTTGATCACAGTACCTTAACCAAAAAAACAACACTCTGTCTCTTGTAGAAGTAGGTAATCATTGTTAGAGGTTGACTGATGTGTGTTTCTCTGGTCGATGCCGATATTTAGAAATCAGGGCGGCAGATATGTGCATGAGGTTAAAGGGGTCATATTATGCTGCTAAAAATAACATTATTTGGTGTAATGAAATGTTTATGCGGTTTAAGGCACAAAAAACACATTATTTTCCACATACTGTACATTATTGTTTCTCCTCTATGCCCCGCCTTTCTGAAGTGCGTCGATTTTTACAAAGCTCATCGGAAAAATTTAAATCGTCTCATATGACCCCTTTAATCAATAGCGCACTCACACTCTGCTCAATATTCTTCAAAAGCAGTTTTATCATAATTATGAGCGTGCTTGGTTCTGCAGTCATCACAGTTTGTCTACTTTTTTTTTTTTTGCGTCTTGAGACTTCAAACCAGAAGAGACGAGCGGCTGCTTTGCTTGGACTCCCATATTACTTAAAGGAAGATCCCAGCAGTTTCATCTGTGTCTGTGAGGTATGAGAGTTGATTTCAATATGACATGGGGAACTTTTGTCACAGTTAAAGAGAGAGCTCACACAAAAATGTAATTTTATTCACTCTCAAGTCTAAACCTGCATGAAGTACTTTCTTTTGAAGAACATAAAGGAAGATCCTAGGAGATGTTGCTAATGCCTTTGCTACTCTCATGGGTCTTCTTTACTGTCTTGACATAGACTATCCCAAGAGACTGAAGTACACATTCGAGGTGATACAAAAAGTGTTCATGGGCATTGGCAGTGGCAATTGTTCTGCGAAAGTTAATGGACTCCGCAACAGTTTGCTCCAAGACAAAGTGTAGTGGCAAGTTGGCCTAGTTAATGGCAGCAATACAGTTTCAGTTGGTAGCATTAATTTGTTAGTTACACAAATGTTTACTGTTTGTACACTAAAAGTTGCGTCACACCACCATTTTGCATGGTTTAAAAAAAAAGCTTAACATATTTGTTCTAAAATGCCATTGAGTTAATCTAAGCTACCAAACTTGTTGCATGTACAAGTTTTCATACATTTTTAAGAAAATTGTTCGACAGAAAATGTTATGAATTGAAAACTGTTGTTAGTTTTCATACGTTTTGTTAGATAATTGTTTGACAAACATTATGATGTACTTTTCATACTTTTTTTTAGATAATCGTTCCACAGTAGGGCTGCACGATAAATCGCATGCGATATTTATGCAAATCTGAGGGTGGAGCCACCGTCTGCATGTTCTTAAATTTCCATGCCAATTTTATGTGGTACAGTAGAAAATAGAAACTTGAGTTGTGTGGGCAAATTACCTGTTCAGCCAGTTGAATGAACTAAACATTACTAGTGAGATGAACTATTCTTGAAAAAGTAACCTGGCTGCCTCAACAAGACGCTTAGTTTGACCAATTTGTATTTAGTTTGCACAACTTATACTTACAAGTTTATTCAACAAAATGCTAAGTTTAAACAACTCAACGTTTGTTGGTCTCACTAGTTTTATGTTGTTTCAGCTTGAGTTTAGGTTAGCACAAATTTCTCGTCTTCTTGGGCTAACTAAAAACTGGTTGGTTAAACAAAGTATAAAGTTAACTCCACTTCACCTTTGTTACCCCAACTATTAATTCTAGGTTTAAGGAACTCCAATATATGTGTAAACAACAAATGTTTTTTAGCTTATTGAACACAACATTTTAAGGCAGCCAGGTTACAAATTATTTTAAGTTGAATCAACTTATTTTTTTTTACAGTGCGTTTTATTTTTACTTTTTATTATTCAGTTCCTAAACTTGTGTTAAAATTACATTTGTATGTAATGCTCGAGCAAAACACTACCGTTCAATTTCAGAAGTTGTTGTAAGTTGTTGTCATTTGAGCATGTGGCACTTTAAGCATTATCGTTTTGCATATCGAACATCGCATTATTTAATGAGTTATCGCATATCGCATTTTTCTTCAATATCGCACAGCATCACTGATTATAATGAGTTCTATATTATTTTGTCGCGCTTCTCACGTCCGGTTAGGGCTGGGCGATATAGCTCAAAAATGTATCAACGATATAATATTTCATATCGTTCGGTATCGATAATTATTGACATTTTTTATAAACTTTTGTAAAACAAAGAGCAATAGAAATTTTTTAAATTGAACCACTGTATTTTTTAATTAACCCAATTTATTGAGACAAACAACAAATATTTTTTGTTTTAACAGTCAAACACACAAAAATTAAACAAATATCTAATTTCTAATGTTAGTATAATCAGAGCATAATAGAGTATACGTTTATCATTTGTTCGTATTTACACAAGCAAGCTAATTTTAAACAATTCCAGAGAGAAAAGTCGAAAGGGAACTCTATTAGTTACTCGCGCGCTGTTCTCTTCGCGCACAGCCGCACACACACGAAGCGCGCACAAGCGTTTCAGACAGCGCGCGAACACCGAGCTGAATCCTTTTCTGAATCCTCCGAACAGACACACACACATAAAATTATGACAAAATACCCATCTCGACAATCATTCAGGTAAACGCGGTCCGTTATGTCTCAAGTGAATGAAAACAGCTGAGAAAGAAATCGGATGTGATTTCTATCGGATGTCACTATATCGGATCCGTGCATAAGGTCTTAAAGGGACAGCGGCCTATAAATACTGCTGATGTCATTAATGATCATCAAACAACAAAAGAGCTGTGATAAAAATCGATATTTAATTTATGCAGTGAACACTCAGCAGTGTTATTTTCACTAATTATTACATTTCTGTAGCATTTGGACCAATCAGACACACAACTTTTTGTTATATTTAACAAATAATATCTAACTCCCCCTCACTTAACCAAATGGCCAATTACGAGGGTCTATGGACCCTTCCCCCGAAGTGCACCTAACACCTCAGAAAGGCAGAACAGGCCTCTGGTCACCATGACAACTAATCATGATATCACTGGTTTTATTACGCCTCCAGGAATTGGAATTGACAAGACAGTTGACCCTGAGAGGTCAGCTAAATATCTACAGCGGATCTAAAATATGAATAGTTAATTATAACTAGTTATGGTTAATTTTTCATATTTCCCCATGAGCTGATTCGCTACATTTCTGTATTTGAATACTACCAACCTTATTTCATTTGTAACATATTCTTTTG